TAAAACTTTATATCCTTAATATTTTGGGACTTTTTTCGTTTCTGTCCCTTTTTTTTATTTCGTGTAGTTATTTGCAATGTAAGTTTATCTGTCCGCTGTCGGCGTCTTTCATGGAAAGCGTGATATTTGAAAACATTTGAAAAAAATCTCTACATCATCTAATCAATTTGGACATGTAAATGCCGAGGACCGGAGAAGCAAGAAGAGTATCTAAAAATAGAATATTCAGTATAAGGAAATAGGAATAATTACATCAATCATACAGCTGATTTAAAATTTGTTCTTCTTTGTTTAATTCATTGTTTGACTTTACTGTATCTTATTTAGATTTCTATCAAATGGTGTCATTCACTTAGTGTTTGGCGTAAAAGATTCTGTGTCCTTGACTTCTATTTTTACATTTACCCAATTGCACCCTGCCCACTTAAAAAATTTGAAATTGATTTTTTTGGTGTGGTCCTCAAAACATGTTCCTGTGGTGGAAGAACTTAGAAAATCTTGTTACATGCAAATAGGATTTTTTTTTCAAAAAAATTCATATTGAAACTTTTAAAGTTTTTTTGGAAAATCTGGTAATTAATTTGTGAATAAATAGGGCCCATACGTGGTCCGAGGTATCCTTAGATTAAGGAAACAGAATTTTGTAAAAACAGTGAGGTCTCACTCTTCTGAGGGGCGTGGTCCAATAAGGAAGATAGATGTAATAATTGAAACCCGCCTTATTTTGTTGCAATGAAAGCAGTTTTACCAAATTTAATTTTGAATATCATTGGATGAAGGTGCCTCAGTTCTATATAAATCGATGGTCTGCAGAAGTGCGGAGCCCAATTTGGGAAATATAGGGGTAAAAATTAGAAATCATTCTTTTTCTGCTTAGTTGAAAGTATTTCGTTGAAAGACGGAATTCGAGAAACCACCCATCACTCGATTTGCATTCTAAACATTGCAGTATTTTAGAGTACACTGAAATGTAAAAGGTCCACATGGCCTGTAATTCAAACGAATTCACAATCACCTAAATGTTCAGGGTTATGATATTGGGCATGTAGCAAGCTGGGAGGAAGGGCTACGAAGCTGTTAAAATGAAATTATTGACCTTGACCCACTTTCAAGGTCACTATGGTCAAATGTGTTAAAATATTTAAACTGCTCCTTCTCAATAACCAAAGGCCCAAATTGCTGATATTTGACTTGCATTGTATTGGAGTAAAGGGCCATCAAATGTGTTGAAATGAATGACATTGATCTACTTTCAAGGTCACCAGGGTCAAATATGTGAAAATCTTCAAACAATTTCTTTTCAATAACCAAAAGACCCAAGGTGCTGATACTGCGCTTATAGCATGCTGGAATGAAGGGCTGCCAAATTTCTTCAAATGAATGACATTAATCCACTTTTAATGTCACAGGGTCTAACATGTTAAAATCTTCAAATGGCTTCTTCATAATAACCAAATAGTAATTGCTATGAATATTGGTTCTGTAACATCAATATATGATTGTCCTTGACCCACTTTCAGCATCGCTGATGTCAAAAGTGTTGAGAACTTTAAAGTGTTTTTTTCAACAAATAATAGGTCCTGGGTCCTGATATTAGTAGCATGCTTGAGGAATAGGATTTCAAGTTTACAGATATTAACTTCATGAACTAAAAAATTGTTCTGTTTAAGCTGTTGAACAGGTGAACAATTCAGGCCCTTGGCGTTTCTAACTAATACATGTCGTCATAGCTAGGTTACCGGTAAGGCCATCGGACCTCTTGTTTGGGACATACTTTTCTCTCGGTTTTGTTAAATATATTTATTACTACTATCAAAAAGTATCATTTTTGAAGGATAATCACCTTCCATTAGTTGGAACCCATCTTTAAGTTTGAAGCTTTAAAATGTCTTGTCTTTGGAAGAAAACTAACAATGAAAACAATTGTGAATAAAAATGTTTTCAAGTGAAAGCTGAAATATCCTGGCGAGCAATGTAGATCCCACGGACACCTTGTCTGTATCAGCATCCGTAATTAGCTCTTTAAATCTGCATAGCATGCCCTGTTTATCGACATCCCAGCGTGGATTTTTCAATCCACACTACAGTGATCATGCCTTTGACAACTGATGGTTGCACGCCCCCAATCCCTCCAATATGACTCCTGTTCTTTCCCCTTAGCAAAGTAGAGTCTCTGAATCGCACAGCTGTTACGTCCTTCTAGGTCTCGTCAGTGATGCTACATCATCCAGATGTTACGTCCTTCTAGGTCTCGTCAGTGATGCACACGTCCTTCTAGGTCTCGTCAGTGATGCTACATCATACAGCTGTTACGTCCTTCTAGGTCTCGTCAGTGATGCTACATCATACAGCTGTTACGTCCTTCTAGGTCTCGTCAGTGATGCTACATCATACAGATGTTTCGTCCTTCAAGGTCTCGTCAGTGATACTAAGATCTAAAATTGCTTAAGCCACGAGGCAACTGAAGAATGTGACATTTTCCTGTGGGACAGCAATAATGTTTGTGCTATTTGTCACAAATTAAAGATGTTTGATGATGAAATCTCGGTAAGTCATATCATCAGGAAACTGGGGTAAAAGTCACCTATGGAAAAGAAAAAAAAAACACTGATATTAGGATGCATATCCAGCAGCTTATATGGCTCGGATAATAGAAAACGGAGTTGTTAACCGCAAATAGATAATATAAGAAATAATCTTCAAACGTACTTATATGTGACTTTAATCTTCAGACCCGAAAAGTCAGACAACATTGCCAGGAACTATGATGAAGATTTCGTCAAAGCAGGTCAAGATTCCGCTTTGTTTCAACATAGAACCAAACCAACAAAGGTGAACAACGATCCAAGCTTACTATACAGTCTCTAACAAAGCTGGGACGGTAACAAACACACACACCAAAAGCGGCCCAAAGAAAAGTGATCATGGAATAAAAATATCTTTGACTTCATATGTAGCAACGCTCTCCAAATCAAGACACTAGGTAGATTAAACTATATTATAGCACATTACAGAAAGCATGCAGACGATTTAAACATTAATTGTGAAAACACACAAATTAAGGAGATTGTTGTTGGTGTCTGTTTTTCATCCACATCAGTGAGTACGTGTTTGTGTTGTATAAAAAATACAAGATGATCTAGATAAATTAGATAATTGTCAGACACTTAGTTACTACGTTTACACCCTGGTAAACGCAAGGTTATGACTGTGGAAACTTAAATACGCAATGATTCTTTATTTCTATTTAAATACATTACAGCCGGCAGAGAAAGAACAGATATAACGATCACAAGTGAAGATAGATATTTGGTAATTACAACGGAAAATCAACAATTTAAAAAGCTTTATTCAAGCTGCAACAAACTAGACATGAAATGACAAGATCAATATGAGGGTGATATCTATACGTGGATATGTTTTAGTACGACTGCACTTTGAGAAAGAAGCACGTGCTTGTAACTCCTGTTTAATCAAGAGTATTGAAAATACAAAACAAAGAACAACAACGCGTGATATGTTTATGTAGATCTCAATAGAGTTATTCGATGACAGAGGATGTATGTCATATTTTATTTGCACATTCAAAACCCTCAAGTGAAAAAATGTTGATCCATCTTTGAAAACTAAGAAAGAAACGGCTGGCAGTATGGCCAGACGGAGGCGCGCGACGGCTTAGTGGGTAGAGTCTATCCATGATAGTTGGTATTCCTCAAGATACTGAGAAATGGATCGGTTTCTGCTGATGTGGCTGTGTCCTTGAGCAAGATATTTTATCCAGATTGCTCTCTACGTTATGCGACGATCCACTTGTATGTTTTCCAGTGATGTAGATAGCCACCAGCGACTAACCTTCAAGGACAAACCTAAAAATGAACCTGGCTGTTCACAGGGCAATAAACCAGCAAACTAACACAACAAAACTTCTAATCACATTTCAGAAAATTTAGCTGTAACAGCGTTACTGTGAAAATGTGTTTCGATTAAAATAAAATGTGTTTGACTCCAAATATTGCATATTTTTCAGTAACAAATTGTCATTTTTTTTTTACAAACGACGCGCTTTCTGTTGGTCGACAGGAAAACACTCTTGTTGACACAGTGTCAGTTGCGATGGAAGTGCCACTGATATTTTTTAAAATTTAATGCTTGCGTCAACAATAGTCGAAGACTAATGTTATGACGTCACCAACGGTCAGTTAATGCATCGAAGTGATTTGGCAAGGTCATAATGGAATATTACTTTGTAATGTATAGCATACATTTCATGTGTGCTTTAAAATGCCAAACGTATTCCTCAAGAGCAATGAAAACAGTAGATATGACGAATATTTTCCAATAATGTATTGACATGCAGTTAGATTAGTATTTATATTGTTTTTGTTCAACGCGCTGAGTAAGTCTGAAGTCGTGAGCTAGTTTCTTATTTATTTCCAGTTTCAATGTCCCTTCTTTAACTGATAAAACGTACATAGTGAAAATATCACTAATATCTATATATTTTACATACATCAATATAAGTGGTGTAAGTATTGAACAAATTACCACCTGATATACATGATATGCAAACGTATTATTGCTATTGGGCGGAATACATTTGATATCGTTTCCAAAAAAACACGCATTTGTATCCTTTCACAATATGTAATATCTGGCTATTTGGGTTTCAATTTTCATCACTTTTTAAAAATGTATTTCATAATTCACCTGCGTTAACATTTAAATATTCTTATCAGGAGCCCTACTACCTGTATTGTTCCATAAGAACTAATTCATGTTAATATATTCAATGGATGGTGAGTCAGCTGGCTTCGGAGAGCCACATGCAAAAATCGATTTTCTCTTTCAAATTACTGGGTAGGAGTTCTCTCCCTTACATCACCGGAAGTAGATAACAACCAAAATGCGCATGATGGCTGCTGAACTGAAGCCATCACGTCCTCCAATTTACAGTTGTTACTTATATTCGGAAATGTTTTGCTAATTTGAAACCTTTCAGCATGGCTCAGTGTAAACAGACAGCTCAGGAATTTATCCAGAACACATTTAATCCGCATGTGGCGGTGTTGTGTAGTCCAGACGCTGAAGTGTTGTGCCAGAAGAATAATCTGACGTTTGTAGAGCTTGTGCAGCCCTTCTGTCACCTTACAACTGAAGGTGCCTACATTTCACAATTCATTTATATGTTGTTTCATAGAAAGAGCAAGCATACAAACCAATTATTCAAATGTTGTATACGCTAATTCATTGATCGTTATTCACTAAAACATTTATCAGTGACATCGGTATTGCATCGATCCAAAAGTGGGAGGGGTGTGTTACGCTGCAGGCCATTCAGTTACAAACAGGAACTAGTGACATCTTTCTTCACTATATGTTTAGCCATGTTTTAGAAAGCTGTATTACTTTATAAATAACACTCCAGAGTATTGAGTTTTGCATTTTATACGACTATTGTCAATGGTAGTCCATACTTTGATAAGTTGTCAATTAATAATTAAATTGTGAAACGTCTGTAAGCAACTCCTGCAGGTTGTCTAGAATGTTAAGAGTTGAAATTCACCACTTTCTGTAGACCTATTATTATTTGATGAACTAACGTTTTGTGTTTAAGTAACTTGTTTTTCAACACTAGACTTGCTACACTGATTTGAAATACTGCATTTATTAATGGGCACTACTATTACATGTTGATGTTAAATGCCTCCTGAGTTCCATAATGAAAGTTAGATTGTCTACTCTTTGAACGTGATAGATATGGCTAAAATGCAGTTTGTGTCTTGATGACCTATATCAATGTGTTCTCAGTGTTATTTAGAAGGTAGACTTTTTTTTTGTGAACAAGATGTTGGACATTTTCTTGCTGCTGATGAAAAGAAAGGCATATCTATTAGGGTTTTTTGTATCGGTTTCCTGCCTACACATATCAGCTGATTATCCATTACACATGCTGTGTACAATGTGAACGGATGAATTCATTGTGTAAACACATCTCACTTGTGGGGTCTACATGTTCCCCAGTAACTGCCACCTCCGACTGGTCGGCTGGTTGACATGTTAAACATCTGCTTTCACTGATGTTACCAGTATTCAGCAGACACTTGGAGGGTGTCCCGTGTTACCACCCACCTTTGTTTAGACATTTCCCTGTCAATCCCATGGATAGCTCTTGGTCTTTCTGACCTTGTCATTTGCCAGTGATGCAGTCAACGATGACTGTGAAATAGATGTAGCACTGGCAGTTATCAAAATTTCCACAGCATTTCAGCCAAAACCAATTCATATTGCCAGTTGCATTTCACTCTCACCACTGGCACTGATGGCCATTCCCATCATGAGCCCTGCATCTGTTATGATGCCAGAGTCAGGCAAGCTCACTGGAATAGACTGTCGCACAGCATAAAATGAGGGCCGTCCCTTTGTTTCTGTGAATGCAATCTTCACCGGTCTGATGTCATGGCTACATGCAGGACTGTTAATGACTTAAACAGATAACTATTTTAGTGATAGGTAATGTTTATATGCTGATAATAATTTTATTGATTGTTAATGTTTCCAGCTCACATTCGTGACCCTAACAATGTGCCACACTGTATTCGTCACCTGAAGATTTCTATGCTGGATATGACAGCACAGGCGCCCCAACAAGCAATTGCCAGGAAGATGATGAGTGATGCTGTTGCCAATGCCCAGCCCCAACTGGTCGAAGGGGGCAGGGGAAATGTCATATCCATTGGCAACTATGACCTTCAGCTGTCAGGTAAAATGCTGTAGTGGCAGTATTACTTTCTGATAATTTTCATGTTAATATGATATCAGGCTGTTAAGTGTACACAAACTTGTGTCAGGTTGGAGATATCTAGGTACAAAATTGAGTACTCGGGTCACTATGCAACAGCAGTTGAAAACTATGAAAAGGAATGCTTGTAAAACCCAAAGTTTTCACACTGTCCTGCTGACTTCAAGATAACGAGGTTTGACGGTTTGATGATAATGCATTGATAAAGTTTAAATATGTCATTTTTCCTTACAGCATCTACACCTTGGTTTGAAGCCTACAGAGATGTTTTTCTTCAAGTACTGCCTCCTAGTGACCACGAGTTCCTTAACCATTGTGTGGGATGTATCCTTGAATTATAACATTGCTTGAAAATTAGTTTTAATTTACAACAATTCCGATCTTATTTGACACCTGACTGCTGTATGATACTGTAATTATTTTCCATATGAAAACACCAGAAGACTTGGATATTGACATTCTGTACTTTTCTAATCTGACACATTACCATTGTATAATGCAACATGATACAGTGATTTGATATGAAAACTACCTCAGAATTAAGACTTATATTCTGAAATTCTGTCTAATCTGTACTACATGCAGTAGACATGCGATGTCAAATACGAAAATAACTTGTGTAACATAATATAAACATGCCATGTTTTCATACAATCATAGTTACTACAATGTATAATGTATATCTGAAATAATTTTGTCTGGCACTTGGTGTGCTAAAGTGCAGTTTAATTTCCTATAAATTCATTGTTATTGACCTTGACACTGCTGTCAGGTGTGTTTGTCGTTTCCTCTGGTCACTCTGACCCAATCACAGGGTTTAATAACCTGGCTGGACAACAGTATCAACAGCAGACACAGTTCCCAAACAAGATGCCGCGGTGGCTGGCACCCAATCTTCTCAAGTATTATGTACTGCTGCATGATGTCACAGAAGGGGAGGATGCAAAGTACGACCTCACTCAGTATAAAAGTCATAGCCTAAGGTGTTTGCTTGTCCTTCCCCGGAGGGTTTTTACTTATTGGTGTAGTCATAGTGTTATGAAGTAGCTTTAGAAAACAGATCCTATAGGATGCTGAGGCCCTGTAGGAAATCAAAAGAGAATGACTGCAAAAGGTTTACCTGGCACTTGGTCCCTGGATAAAATGGAAATTGGAAAAAATCATTAAGCAATAATTAGTTAGTAACAAAGTCATATTTGTTTTTTTTTAATAAGTATTTTAATTTGAAAAATATAACACATAATTCAACGAAAAGTCAAGAATCAAGAAGGCAATCGTGTAGTGTTTTATTGCAAATTTTTAAAGAAAAGTGCCAGAGTTTTCAGGACTTGTTAGTATTTAGAATTGTAATTATCTCTGTTTATAATTTGTAGCCGTAGAATAATTTGAAATGATACATGTTTACAGTTTTCTGCCATTCTAAGCCTATAGTTGTTAGAAAATGGTAACTTGTAGATAGGTTAAATACAATATATAAAACTTTTTATGGTTTTTATTAATTCTTAGGTGCATATAAACTGTTTATTGTGCAGTTGTTTTATTTTGTTTGTTTCTGTTTGTTTTTGTTTTTTTTTTTTCATTTTCATTTTTAAAAAAAAGCCCTCATATCAAAAAATAATATTCACACCTTGCGGATTAGATTTGATAGTAATATAGTGTAACTTATCAACATCCTCCTCCCCACCAATATTCTTCTCCTCCTTTTTTGTTGAATTCTATTTTATGACAGTTTTGCATGAAATCTTTTGTACATGAATGTTCGAGTTGTATACCACAGAGGGATAAGAAACTACTGATACCTTTTTGTAACATTATAGTGAAGAAATTGAGTTAAGTTGCCTTGGTGTGTTTATAAAAGTTTTTCTTCCAAAAAAGTATCTAACTGAACTTTTCAAATAATTAGTAGTTGAAAGCTCATTAATTTTCAAATTGATTGTGTTAACTTTTGTGACAAATAATTTCTGTACGCTTTTGATATTTATCAAACAAAATTGCATGTTTAAGTTATTTACAAAGAAAACACCACCCTATATTGTATACCACTTTCAGCCCGAAATTTGAGAATAAATATATGTAGCATTTAAAACTGAGTTTTTTTCCAATTGACTTTTGTAAGTTTTGTGACATGTATTTTAATTTGATAAGTATTATGGATTCACTTCGCACTGGCTGGCAAAATTGTTCTGGTCCGGCCATTCAGTGCAAAGTCCACAATATCTACAGTGTGGGTAAATAAGATTAGATAACTGTAGTGGAGAATGAGCTTCAATGTCTTCACAGCTCATTGAACAAACACAAAAGCTGATGCCACAGAAATCTCCACTCAGCCTAGTTTCTTATCCCTCCATCTTACACATTCCAGATTAATGCTGTCATATAATACCAATTCCTTCTGTGAAATTTTCTTTCCCTGTTTTTTTTTTTTCATTTCTTCAGAAAATATAATCTGCTGATTGTAATTCTCTTGTAATATTCCAATGCCAATATTAATGAAAATTTGAAGATTTACTTTATATTATCAATAAGTTTACATTTTTTTTTTCAATTTTTGTTGCTGCTCAGAGCTGATGCTGTTTACCAAAGTATGAAGTCAACATATGGAGCCAGCGGATGTCATCTCCTTCATATAAACTCCCGTAGCATCAAGGTTGCAGATAGCATGAAGACAGATAGTAATCTGCCTGACCCCTGGAGTCAATTTCTGACTAAACCTGTGGATATCTCTAATGTAAGTCTTTTTGATTGGACTGGTTCTTGGACCAATATTCATGTTAATTTCATACAAATATTAATATCCACATTGGTATTGTTCTCATACCCACAGCTAGAGTAGTATGTATGGTTATTATAAACTGAAATGTACTTCTGTTTAAATTCTCTATCATATTTATATTACCCTGATTTAAAGTTGTGAATTTTGGTCATGTCATGAGTAGAGATATATTATTGTTTGTTGACATATTACAGAAAATGCATTTATATATGGGTGGGCTTAGTACCAGGCATGGGGTTATTGCCAGACAAATATGGTTATGCACGAACAAGTATCAAAAGAAAATGGCGGGGAAATAAAGTTCTTAAATGGGAAATCTTCCCGGTTATGCAACATTGGTTACCATTCCTGATAAACCTACTTTATGAAAATCCTATGGATAGAGCACTATGGTCAAAACTGTTGGTATTTCATCTAATCTGAGTATAATGCCAGTTTATTGTTGAATGTATATGCTGACAGAAAATTTACAAAATGTGTGAAATAATTAAGAAAAAGGCAAGGTTTTTTTCAAACATCAAAAAATTCAATTTATAACACTGTCTTTCTAAAATAATTTGTGCAGGAAAGTGAATTCTTTATACATTAATGGTAAACAAATTTTGAAGTGAAAGTCTGTATTGTCAGTATTAGGAAATTTTGTTAAGTAAAATTTAGGCATGCACACTGTATGAAATAATGTTATTTTTTTTAGCTTAAACAAGTTCTGAAATATTTCTGTATTGCTTATTTAAATATTAAGCAGCAAATTGATGATTTAAAACAAGTTAGATTTAATCAGTATTGGGTAGTGTATAAGTCATGTGTGTTTTGATTGTATTTGTTATTTTATTGGTAATCTATTTCAGAATTGCTATATTTGTTATGACTTGTTGAAGTGTCAACTGTTTGCCTCAAGCTTTGATCTGTTTGAGTTAATGAAGATTTAGAACTTACTTATTGATACAATCTAAATGATATGAATACAGAAGACAAGGCAGTGCTTGTAGATAACATGTAGTGTGAGGTGACAGTAGATATAGATTATACTAGGTACACATGGCTAGTGTATTGTAGAAACTGCACAATTTGTATATATACATAATTTTAGATAGAACAAAGATAATTCCTTGTGAATGATCAATATGAGTTGATATGAAGAAGATCTCCAAACATAAGATTGTCTGCGTAGCTTTTTTGCCTTCTTCGACAGAAGACCATTGTGTAGTCTTGTGTTTTTGTAATTTTTTTTATATAGCTGTATCTTAAAGGATAACATTCTAATTTGGTGAAGTTTCAGAGTTCATTTTTTTTTTTGACAGTTTAGCATAAAAACAGCTCAGCTTGAGTCATAACTTATAATTTCATGAAAATAGACAATATCATTCATATTTACAAAGTTTTTTCAGTGAATCATAGATATTTATTGGTTTTATGATAAAAGTTGGAATGGATGTTCGAATGCTGTTATCATCTACTAAACAAACTAGAGGTGCTATCATTCATTGGAATAACAGTCTTGAATTACATCAGTTGTTGACAGCTTACCACCTGGAGATTTAATATCTCTAAAGATTATGCTTCATTTTCTCTGCTTGCTTTGTATTTAACTCAACAAAGATTTGTCATACATGGTTGAAATAAGTATGAGGTTCAAAAAAAGAATTACTTGTTCTAAAATTTACTATGTGCAGTTCAAACAGACCATCGTTTTTCATTAAAGTACATCTTAGCTGAGTAAGCATTCAGTCTTTATGGTTTAGTTACTTAAACTTAATGAATAGAATTTTTCATGTTTCCAAGGGATTTTTCATGTCTTTTTTTAGGAGTTGTTTTGTTTTAGAAGTGAATAGAAAGGAATCTTTATTGTGTAATGCAACATTTATTTTTTGGTAAAACACAAAAAAAAATTCAGGTAATGATAACCAATTATGAAAATCTACAAGTGATCATCACATCAGTTGAGCGATTAGTTTATCAATTATATTCAATCATTGTCCAAGCACCATTGATTACAATACATTGGCAATACAAAATGTAGTATAACACTAGGTTAAGTCACAGACTTTACGAAACAACATGGACTAGAGTGAATTGACTGTGTTGAAATGGATAAGACTGTGTTGATATTTGTAATAGTGATAGTAAAACAATGTATATATGATTATACACATGAATGTGATATTATCATCAGTGACTTTCAAATTTATAAATGTTTCCAGTTTGACAGGTATTATTAAGTATAGGAGAACTGGATGTTATTTGGATTTATATGTAAAAAGGCAAGAACTACTTAGATTTGGTAGTAATTATTGTAATTGATAAACTAGGGAAAAACCTTGGTGTGACATTAAATGGGATGGGACTTGTATACAAGGGAGATTACTAAGTGCTATCATAATCTGTACACCAGTTGAAGAAGGCAAGTATATATAGTTAGGATTTACGTCCCTAGAGAATTACAGCAGCCTCATGTGACTTTCAGATTTCATTATAGAGAGATAATAATCATATGCAGTCTTTCTATACAATTGAAGTAACTGTTTTGGAGTAAACTGCCAGAACCTTTATCTATTTGTTGTAATAGGAGGTTGCATTTGATTTTAGAAAGGATATTACAGTCTATTAGGTGTATTAAATGCCAGATGCAGAATATGAAAACAGTGAATATTTACTACCCTTAATTCAAGGGAGGACAACTCTGTGTGGATTGTTTTGACTTAATAAAAGATAGCTGTGTATTCGTAGTACTGACAGTTTATGAAAATGAGTGATTACTCCTACTATGTACAGCATACAGGGAAGTCACTATCAACATGCAAGAAAGATAACTATTTAGGGACTGTACTGATAGTATATATAAGGTTTATATATGAGAGACTGTTTAGGCAAGGGAGATAACTATTTATAGACTATTGAGTATAGGAAAGACTGTAAGATTGATTTTAACATGCTCTATCACAGGTTGCAGTCAACATCTGGCATTCCATAAATTAAAAATAAATTCACTTTCTCTTCAATCTCTGACTCCTTTTTCCCATATGGCACACACATGATGATAATGTGCACATGCAAAGGGCACACACCGATCAAGTCCCTATATTGTTTTCCTAAATGGTTTGTTCAGTGACTATTTATGCAAGGGATAGAATGATGTATGAATTTGTTGGTGTATGGTTTAATAATCTATACAAGGGAGATAACTATGTATGGAGTTGATTGGAGTATGGTGTACTAATTGTCAGATCCTGTAGTTACTAAAACCTTTCATTCCAGAAAAAGCGCCAAAAGGCTAGATATTACATAGCATGGGTAAGTTGTAGTGGATCTTACAGCTTTGGTACTCTTCTATTAGACTTCAGTTGCTGAGTTCATTTTTCTCTTTCATTCAAATAGTTTCATTTGTGCTTGTTTTTCTGTTCTTTGTTTCCTGTTCAAATTCTGTATGGTTTTCTTTTCTGGGCGTCCTGACCATGAATGACATGTGTATGATATGGTTGTCTTTTTATTATAATGTATTTTTGGTTCATTTTCAGTGTTGATTTGTATTCTCTGTCAGCAAAAAGAAAACTTTCACATCATATGCAATATGTATGCAATTCATGAAAGCTTTGCCTCAGATTTTCAGTTTTTTTTTTGCTTTTAATTGAATTATATTTCCAGATATATGACAAATACTAATAATTTCTTTCTTTCCAGAAAAGAAATATCTGCTATCGTTAAGTGGATCATAAGTGTAGACTTTGCGCTGACACAGGATATTGTAGAAATTTGTTTGATCATGTGAATGTTTTATATCATAATATTCTGCATCCCTTTACCTTTTATCTTCGATATGCTTACGTGGATTATAATGATTATTCATGGTATTCAAATTCTTCTAAGTTCCAGCATGTTGGATTCTAGCACAACTGAAGTATTGCCTGTCTTTGTCATCCTACTATGATAGGTTCTGTAATACACTGTAAACAGTAGATCTACAGCTTGATGGCACTGATTTATAAATTTAAAAATCCTACTGTCAGACAGAATTATCTGTACTTGTTGACTGCACAAGAAACTTTATGTGTCTACCTAACATTTTTAAAAACATTTTTGAAATTTTGCAATCCCACGAGCCTGGCTAATCCAGCCTGTTAACCTTTGATTTGCTATTGAAGGATCCGGAGCTATGTTACTGGAGAGTTCGATTTGGAAACAAAGGGGTGAGAGGGTTGCTAGTAGACGTGAATTATTTGAGTTTTTGAGATATTCTTTTCATTCCATTTGCTTCCCATCCCTTCCTCAAACAAACATGGATCATTCTGCTTTCACATTGTGTTGTAATGTAGGGTCAAGGCCATTTATCTTATTGCATGTTTTTTAATTCAATAATATGACCTAAGTACAGTCATGTATCAAGTGTTGCTAGAGGATAAAATACAACATAACATTTATAATGATAAGAAATTCATACATTTTCATCTTTTCATTTGTTTTTATTAATTAATGATAAAAATTGACTTACCAAATAGTGGAACAGCCATTTTAGTAGCAACAAGGTTGTTTACTCAGAGGTCAGGCTAATGTCTGGTGATGACATCAACTGACAACCTTTTAAGTATTTTCATAATTATATGTGAATGGGGTACAATTAATGTAATGTCTTTGACAGTTTTCAACTGGAAAACTCTCACATACAGTACCAGTAATTGCTGTTGTGTTTTCAAGCAAGGTTTCGTAGGCTGTACAATGGAATATATTGTGTATGGTTTGACATTCATCAGTATGTTGTATGTTGTATCACAAAGCATCCAATTATACAGTAGTGTTATAATAAACATTTCCTATTGCCTGCAGTATGTGAAATAGCTTCAGTAGATGTCAAGGTCAAATAGAAAGAAGAGAATAGTATATGAATTGCTTTGTCAATGCATGTGTGTGCGTGCGATCTTATCTATCCTTTGTGAAAGTATATGTACAAAATTTATCATGAATTCTTTCACAAACTTTAAGCTACTTCAGATTTAGCTTTAGCATAATATCATTGATAAACTTTTACAGTCTTCTAGGTTTAATATCGGTGGTCATTGTTGATATTGGTAAAAGGTCAGAGGTCAATCTAAGTTTAATATCGGTGGTCATTAGTCATATTGTTAAGGGTCAAAGGTCATTCTTGACCACTTTCAATTGAATAAAGAAATTTTAAAATCATATCACTTATAATTATCTCATGAATTCCTGAACAGATTTAGTTCATTTTCACACCATAGTATGAAAATTACAACAATGTATTTTTGTGGTCTTCAAGGTTTAAAGGGTCAAAGGTCACACTAAACCTAGTACACCTACATCTTGATCTACCCTAGTTCTTGGCACTTATTGGATAAGATTGAAGGGTCAAAGGTCAATCTTGATCACTTTAGAAATTTGCAATTAGTAATTACAGATGATCATGCATTCCATTGCTTCTTGACCAGGGTAAGAGTTACATCTAGGCCAGATGAGTCTCTGTTCATGTGGTGTTAATTATCCTGTAGTAATGCATTTGGAAACCGTGTAAATTTGTTTGTAATTTTCGGTTGTATCTGTGAACCCACTCACATGCTCATCATTACTTTAATTTAGAATCGCTATTTTTACAACCTACCATCCACTTTCAGTTGCTGAATATAATGTAATAATGTGAAACTGGAATGTGATATTTTGATCAGGAATGGGTCATGTTATGAGTTTTATGGTAGAGACCTTTCAGTTTTCCTGTGTTTTTAATTTTAATGTTATGCTATGATATAGTATGGCGCATAGCATGATGATCACTGTTATCTGTAAGATATGTCCTGGCTCTGTGAATTGTAACGCTGCATGTGACAGTATATACTGTGTAAAACACAACCATGAATTGTAACGCTGCATGTGACCGTATATACTGTGTAAAACACAACCATGAATTGATGTAGACTTCACTTCTCTGCTTTACGCCCTCAGGCCAAACAGAAAGAAATCTTATGTTTCCATTTTCTACTCTCAAAACCAGAATTTAAGTTACAATCCTATTGGGTGAAACATTTTTAACCTGACTAAGTAAATTCAATATATTATTAAACATCTATCAATACCAATTTAAAAAGATACATACCAAAGAGTTATTTAAAAAAAAATGTTTCATAGGGAAGTGGAAACAAAGATTTTTTTTGTCTTGTACAAAAATTCAAATGATTCTAACAGATTCTACCTACTGGTATAGATATCTTACTTATGTACTCACTGACACCTGTTGATTCCATGGGGAAATAAAGAGACACAACAATGAAAAAATATCAAATGGTAAAATTCTTGTCAAGGTTCAAAATCTTCAATCACGTTTTTTTTAAAACACAAATTCAATGAATTTTTAAGCACATTCATTGATTAATCTAGACAAATTCTACACCAGAGAGGATAGTATGACCCAAGTGGTATGCTTTCCCCTCTGCATATAAACTACCCATCAAGAAAATATACTGAAAACATGGAGAAATTTCCACAAAAATAGGAAAAGTTGAAAACTGAGCTAAGTAGTATAGTTTTGAATGACATCTTTTCAAATCATGCCTATATGTAAAGAAAGATATCAATTTAACTCCAACATTGTCGTATTTTATTTATATAATTTTCATGTATGTCATATATTTTATCCTATCTCTCTTTTGAATCGTGACCAAAAGGGCTGTCAGAAATTTCTCCATTTTTTCAAAATAGGCCAAAAACATCCTTTTTCCACAATGTGTATTACATGTATTCCCAAAATTCTCCGTTAAACATGACATTTGATTTCTATAAGCTACTTTAGACTCTGTAATGTTCTGAAGTGTCTGCAGAGACTGCTCAAGGGAGAGAATAAAGAGGTGTCGATACTCTTGGTTTTTCATAGACAAACATTATAGAAATTAACCATGTATAGAGTCTGTGTGTTTTAGAGAATGGAAGTCATAGTCTGATGGTCCTAATAGGGTTTTTATAGCCAGGAGGTCATTGTAAGGTTATTTACATTTTCAGGGTGTACATTTAAGTCAGTAATCCAACAACCCAAAGTAGTATGTTTAGCTACAGAAACCTAATTATGGATATCTGAATATACTGTTGTAGTACATCTCTTTTTCTGCAAAAAGAAAATCCTTAAATATTTCTGTTACAGTTTTTTATGAGTCCTAAATCATATTCATCATCCAATCTGTTAGTCAAACTGTCCATCATAATACTATGGATGGTATATCTCGCCATCCTGTTCCTGTCTAAGACTAATGGATAGTTCTAGAGTATTGTCACTTTCTGTCCTTGCCTTCCTATATCATATATACTATCTCTATATTTACTTTCAACGTTTTATCACTTAGTTAGCTTTTTCTGTCATGTTTGTACTTTTCAAAAACTTTGTATGAAATGTGTGAAAACATTACTGTGATGTAATGAATGATGTCATAAGACTGCCTGAATTGTGAAAAATGTACTATTTTATTTAATCATAAGTAGAACTTGTTTCAGGAATTTATACAGTTATACAATTTGCCGAATATGTAGTATTTGAACATGTATGTTAATGTTATATCGTACCAAGTCATTGAACTTGTTACATAAATTTAGTAAGATCTTCAGATTTATAAGTGTATATGTAAAATCCTCTATCCTGGACATGCGATCAGCCCCTGGACACTGTACACCATATGACCTTGCCATAACATCTCCTTATTGTGATTAAGTATTTTTAAATAATTTACCTTGTTTCAGGTGAAAAAAAATGCTTACTGGTACCTACATTTTATATATGTTGCTATGGCGTGACTTTTAAGTGTCTGATGTGTATATATATCACAGCCTCAGGTACTAGCTTCTCCAGATTATACACTTGGTACTTGTAGTCATACAGCTAAAATCATCACATGCAGCTGAGTCCATGTCTAGCGTGCACATTTTACATAAGTACATCTACTGAATATAGTAAACCATGCAATGAGACACCTTCAAAATCCAAGGGTTTTACCCCAGATATACAGGTATATGTATCCTGTCTGGATGATTGTTCTAGAAATATCAGAGTCTGGTTTTATTTCTTACACAAGTACAATGATATTGACCATTCATGAGGCTTATACCTGTTCTCTCAAATTTTATCTATTTAGAAATTTACAACTTAACTTAGAGCCAGTGAAGTAGATCAATATCCTGCAGTGTGGCTTCCTTTTCCCGTGTAACAAAGGGATCATAGAAATAGATATTCACAACACGAAGGCAACAATTAAATAAGATGCCCAACAAGTTAACATGAACAAATTCCTTATGATCCATTTCATCAAGGCATTTTTATAGGTATGGAGAAGCTAACTTTAAAAAGAATCTATCCCTTTGATTTTGAAGTTTGTAATTATAAGGATCACAATAATCTTCACAAAAAAGTGCCAAAAATTACTTTTGGTGATTTAATTTTGCTCATTTCAACAAAATGCACTACTCACCTTATTTTAAGGCTTTTTTCCATTAGCTTGATGTTGTTCCTCACAAAAATAAAGAAAGGAAAATAATTTGGAAAATTTGAAAATAGTAAACTAATTAAAGCAACCTGACTGATACATTAAATATTCACAAATTGTAAATTATAATGCTGAAAATAATTTTGAGAAGCAATTTACAACTCTGTATACCAGATATGTTTAAGATAAGTATATGGAAATGTTTGAGTACATCAGTAAGCCATTGCATATTGCCTGTATTTTTGTCTTTTAATAATATAACGATTATAAATAATAATATATAATTTACTTATTAATTAATGTATAAATAAATAAATATATATTAATACATTAATTATTGTATAAGTTACATCTTTTACTATTATAGCCTTTTATATAATTTTTGTATTTTTGTTTAATGATATATTTGATATAAATTTATCAATCACAACAGCCTTGGAGTGTGTAGTTTTTGGTATTATTCTGTACGCGTCGACCGGTTTCGCCTTCATGGGCTTCTTCAGGACCCAGGAGCACACTACCCATCCAACTAAAACAAAGGGCGTTGGCTCTATTGACTTGAACTATTTAATATTGACTCTGACTGAAGGATTTTAATGAAAATCTTACTGAATCTTAATTACCAAATCAATAAGCCAAATGGTTGACGTTTCCTAGATAATATTTCACTGTAGCCAAGTGTATTTGGATGAACATGTATACTGCTGAAGTATGGTTATATTTATGACAAATTTTATTTTTTTTTCAATAAAAAAAGCAATCTTTAATTGTTAAAAATGACAAGATCAGTCATTTTTGTTGAGAAACAAGAAAATGGTCATTTTTCACCTCCCCACAAGGGAAATTTTACTTCCCTCTTTATTATTTTTTCTTTACTTAATTATCAAAAGGAAGATGTGGCTTGTATTGCTTAAAATAGATGTGTACATAGTTTTAGATTTAGAAAACACATTAAATACATTCTCTTCAGAAAAAAATATATTTTCTTCAGAAAATCTAGGACTTGTCATCTTGGGACCTGACCAGTATTGCCAAATATTGCAAAGTCATCCTTGTGAGACACCTATATCATCTGGCTTGAACATTATGACATGTACACATTTCACAGTTCATTGTAGTATGATTTCACTGTGTTTTGCAGGAGGGAGCCGATTATGATGTCTCCATTGGTAACGGTACAGACGATGGTGTGGCATTTCCTGGCAAGGTATCAGAAGGAACGCTGGAATCCTCCTCACTGAATGATAGCTTGCTGGTCGAGTCAGCCTCCGAAGCACTTGAAGGTTTGTAACGTCACATTTCCTAATGACCAAGGTTATTATGTCTGTGATATATTGTTTACTTCTTTAATAATATTTATGCTGTAAAGAGGCATGTGAAAAATTTTGTGCAAAAGCAAAATCTTAACTTAGAAGACTTTTTTTCAGCATGTCTCATTGTCCTGTAATTAGCCCATCTCTATTTAGAGTTAAATGTGTACCCATCATTGTCCTGTAATTAGCCCATCTCTATTTAGAGTTAAATGTGTACCCATCATTGTCCTGTAATTAGCCCATCTCTATTTAGAGTTAAGTATGTACCCATCATTGTCCTGTAATTAGCTGACCCCTATTTAGAGTTAAGTGTGTACCCATCATTGTCCTGTAATTAGCTGACCCCTATTTAGAGTTAAGTGTGTACCCATCATTGTCCTGTAATTAGCCCACCCCTATTTAGAGTTAAGTGTGTACCCATCATTGTCCTGTAATTAGCTGACCCCTATTTAGAGTTAAATGTGTACCCATCATTGTCCTGTAATTAGCCGACCCCTATTTAGAGTTATTTAGAGTTAAGTATGTACCCATCATTGTCCTGTAATTAGCTGACCCCTATTTAGAGTTAAGTGTGTACCCATCATTGTCCTGTAATTAGCCCATCTCTATTTAGAGTTAAGAGTGTACCTTTCATTGTCCTGTACTTAGCCCACCCCTATTTTGAGTTAAGTGTGTACCCATCATTGTCCTGTAATTCCTATTTAGAGTTAAGTGTGTACCCATCATTGTCCTGTAATTAGCCCACCCCTATTTAGAGTTAAGTGTGTACCCATCATTGTCCTGTAATTAGCCCACCCCTATTTAGAGTTAAGTGTGTACCCATCATTGTCCTGTAATTAGCTGACCCCTATTTAGAGTTAAATGTGTACCCATCATTGTCCTGTAATTAGCTGACCCCTATTTAGAGTTAAGTGTGTACCCATCATTGTCCTGTAATTAGCCCATCTCTATTTAGAGTTAAGTATGTACCCATCATTGTCCTGTAATTAGCCCACCCCTATTTAGAGTTAAGTGTGTACCCATCATTGTCCTGTAATTAGCCCATCTCTATTTAGAGTTAAATGTGTACCCATCATTGTCCTGTAATTAGCCGATCCCTATTTAGAGTTTCATTATGTACCCATCATTGTCCTGTAATTAGCTGACCCCTATTTAGAGTTAAGTATGTACCCATCATTGTCCTGTAATTAGCCCATCTCTATTTAGAGTTAAGTTTGTACCCATCATTGTCCTGTAATTAGCTGACCCCTATTTAGAGTTAAGTGTGTACCCATCATTGTCCTGTAATTAGCCCACCCCTATTTAGAGTTAAGTGTGTACCCATCATTGTCCTGTAATTAGCTGACCCCTATTTAGAGTTAAGTGTGTACCCATCATTGTCCTGTAATTAGCCCACCCCTATTTAGAGTTTTAAGTATGTACCTATCATTGTCCTGTAATTAGCCGACACCGAATTAGAGTTAAGTATGTACCTATCATTGTCCTGTAATTAGCCCACCCCTATTTAGAGTATTTAGAGTTAAATGTGTACCCATCATTGTCCTGTAATTAGCCGATCCCTATTTAGAGTTTCATTATGTACCTATCATTGTCCTGTAATTAGCTGACCCCTATTTAGAGTTAAGTGTGTACCCATCATTGTCCTGTAATTAGCCGACCCCTAGTTAGAGTTAAGTGTGTACCTATCATTGTCCTGTAATTAGCCGACCCCTAGTTAGAGTTAAGTGTGTACCTCTCATTGTCCTGTAATTAGCCCACCTCTATATAGAGTTTCAGTATGTACCCTTATAGGGTAGTCTCAGGTCATGGATAAGATACAGCATGTGAAATCAAAACTGGTAGAATATTCATTTACTGTGAAAAGTTTCTTTTATTGAGGAAATAATTGGAACCATACAGCAAAAAAATAATTGAATCAATTAACTATTTATCTATTATTATGCATATGAATTCATTTCTGATAGCAGCATCCTCAGGCTCTGGGGCAGACAGCGACATGTTTGACCATCCTCTCGCAATGGACCATTCTACAAATTCAATTAACCATGTGGAGGATCGTTTGTCACCAGACGACTCTGTCACTATGGAAACCAACCACACAGGAAATAATACAAAAGTGCAGACAACTCCTGATAAAAAAGTGCGTGGACATGGCATGTGTTTGACCACTAGTGATCATGATAGACTTCGAATATTTATACACGAGTTCAGTGTCCGCGCTCTAATTCCATGGGCGGAGATGTCCATGAGGTTCCTTAATGAACAGGTAAGTCAATTTACCAAGTTTTTGTTAAAATATATATATATCATGTGAGGGAATTTTAAGAAATAAACATGCAGTGGCAAGGTTATTGACATGCTCCAGAACATTGGAGAAAGTTTCATGTTGAGATCTGTTGCTGAAAAAGTCAAAACTTTAAAGTATTTTCTACATTCTTTATTGTCCAGCATCTCTGAAATCTATAGATGCCCACAAGCTGAACTTAAAACATTTTGTGTATAGCTCAGTTTGTCATTTAGTACAAGTGCAATACCAATCAAACATAGAGTATGGACATTCAAATCCAACAATTATCAGATTTTGAGAAATGACTACAAAGTCGTCATGGCTTGTTCTGTTCCCTTTAGACTTACTGTATAGTAGTATTGAAACAGGTCTTGTTAAGATATCACACAAGTTTATCTCTCTCTGCTTAGGAGGAGAAATGTTTCTAAGGTAAAAATATGATATTTGAGTGAATTTTCAGAACTGGAAAAATTAACAAAATTTTTATTTAAATTTTACAATTCATCAATATGTAAACATGACAACAAGATATCTATTTGTTGATATATAGTAAATATAATTTGGACATTTGATAGTTTGGGGCGGGAAGATATATTTGAATTTTAGTTCATTTACATTTTGCTTAAAAATTCCCTTTGCAACAAAACAGGACAAATAAGACATATCATTAGGCATTATGCTTGTCTTTTTTAGGTCATCTGACCCGAAGGGTCCGATGACCTATAGTCATCATGCTTCGTCCGTCATCGTGCGCCGTCCGTAAACTTTTCATTCAAACGACTTCTTCTCAAATACTAGAAGGTCTAGGGGGCTAATACTTGGCACAGAGGATACTGGCATGGAGCTCTACCAAGTTTGTTCAAATGAATGACCTCGACCCACTTTCAAGGTCACAGGGGTCAAATATGTTAAAATCTTTAAACAACTTCTTCTCATTAACCAAAAGGCTCAGAGTGTAGATATTGGGCCTGTGACATGCTGGGATGAAGGACTACCAAGTTTGTTCAAATGAATGACCTTGACCCACTTTAAAGGTCACAGGGGTCAAATATGTTAAAATCTTTAAACAACTTCTTCTCAATAACCAAAAGGCTCAGATTGCTGATATTGTGCCTGTGGCATGCTGGGATGAAGGGCTATCAAGTTTGTTTAAATGAATGACCTTGAAGAAATTTCAAGGTCACAGGGGTCAAATAAGTCAAAATCTTTAAATAACTTCTTCTCAAATACTAGAAGGCCTAGGGGGCTAATACTTGGCCCATAGCATGCTGGCATGGAGCCCTACAAAGTTTGTTCAAATGAATGACCTTGGCCCACTTTCAAGGTCACAGGGGTCAAATATGTTAAAATATACAAAGGACTTCATCTCAATAAGCAAAAGTCTATGAGTGCCGATATTGGGTCTGTAGCATGCTGGGAGGAAAGGCTACCAAGTTTATTTAAATGAATGACCTTGAACAACTTTTCGCAGGGATAATATGTCAAAATCTTTAAATAACTTCTTCTCAAATACTAGAAGGCCTAGGGGACTAATACTTGGCCCATAGCATGCTGGCATGGAGCCCTACAAAGTTTGTTCAAATGAATGACCTTGGCCCACTTTCAAGGTCACAGGGGTCAAATATGTTAAAATTTACAAAGGACTTCATCTCAATAAGCAAAAGTCTATGAGTGCCGATATTAGGTCTGTAGCATGCTGGGAGGAAAGGCTACCAAGTTTATTCAAATGAATGACCTCAACCCACTTTCAAGGTCACAGGGGTCAAATATGTTAAAATATACAAACGACTTCTTCTCAACAAGCAAAAGTCCATGAGTGCTGATATTGGGCCTGTAAGATGCTTGGAGGAGAGGCTACCAAGTTTGTTCAAATGAATGACCTCAACCCACTTTCTAGGTTTGGCTTGCTTTTTGTCAGATGACCGTTAAGGCCCATGGGCCTCTTTTTAATGTTTACAGTTGACATCAAGAAAGGGTATTCCACGTTCAATATTCAGCGTAACAAAGAAGTGGTTTGGAGGCAACAAAGCAACAGAGAAGGCTGCTGCAACCAACCAAAACACAACTGTAGTGTAAGTAACAAGGTGATCCCTGTGTTGATGAGAACTACCCATGTCTGTACTTAACATATTGACTGATATGATACTGTCAATGCTTCGGGTATCTATGTAAAGTCTTAACAGGTTTTGTATACCTTAGGAATTTCCATGGGTGAGATTGCTATTTTAAACTTCAAGAAAATTGTATTTTGATTGAAAAATTGTTTTTTTGAAATTAAGACAAATTTTTTATGTTTCTTGACAACTAAACAATTACATTACACTATTTGCTAACAGATTGTTGCTGAAAATATTAAGATATAACTTGCTTTGAAATCAGACTTCACCATTTCCTGTCCTTTTATTCCAAACCATTTATCTTTTTCTTTATCAGAGTTTTAATGGACCTCCAGGTCTTCTTTTGAAGACTACAACACAACCACATGAACTTATTTGAAGTTAGTTACTTTCCCTCTGATTGTTAGCCTACCGTCATCAGATTCTCAGGAAAAACCACAATTTTATTGCTGTTTTGTTGTGTTACAGGTATTCTCAGGAAGCACCAGAATTACAAATGCGACGACTAGCAGACTTAGCATTCCTCTTCCAGATGTATGACTTTGCATACCAGACGTACCACACTGCCAAGCGTGACTTTAACAACGACCATGCATGGCTGCACACTGCGGGTGCACTGGTGAGTAAAAAATGATGCAAACATCAAGAGTTCACTGAAATTGGAAACAAAATATAGGAAAAAATTTATGCATGTGTGAGATGATTTTCTTTCCAAATTGTTTTTTTTTTCTATGAAAAAACATTATTCTAATTGAGTCCAAAGGTCAGATCTTCCAATCACATCCCTTTCTTTTTAGAATTTTCTTCTCATGGTCTCAAAAGAACAGATTTTAATACGATTTGTTTTTTTTTCTCTTCATGACAGGAAATGGCGAGTCTCTCAGTGTTTATGCAGGGGCCAGTCAGCTCCCAGAAATATCCCTCTCACTACATGGAGTCTGCCATCACTACTTACTTACAATCATGCAAGTAAGTCACCAATGCTCTGTCCCAGACAGGATGGAGACATTCCTGTCAATATGTCGGAGCAGTTTTCACAGTTAAAATTTTTTTCCCTCTCAAAATATTTTATGAGAAGGCTTGAGTGTTTCTTCTGGATTTTGTTTATTGTCATAATTAAATCATGCCAAGGTTATTACTTCAAAAGGATTGCAAATTTTAATTCTAAAAAATATACATGGGTTAACAGCACTGTCTTAGCTTCTTCAGAATTTTTATGTTTTGTCTTTAAAAATGTTTTAATGTATACCCTGAGTGAAAAAAGAAATGAATATAGTAGTATAGTAGAAAATTAAAAAGGATGAAAACTGCATGTAAATCAGCCAGCAGAAAATTAAAAAGGATGAAAACTGCATGTAAATCAGCCAGCCCACGTGTAGTGTATAATTTTTACCTGTCCTTCTACTACTGAGTTATATTAATAAGTAATAAACCATTATTTCCAAATTGACTGTAAATATCAGAATACAGCTCTTGCTCCTGTACACAGAGACAGTCATGGAATTTGATTCCTTTTAACTAGTTGGGACAACTGCAAAATATAAATCCCGCTAGATTAAACAACGATTTAGAATAATTGTAATACAGGTAGGACCTTGATCATTTCTTTAAAATCTGTGGAGATAATTACATGGTAGGAAAGTGGTATTTGTAATCATCATAAACACTGTGGTAATTTTCAGTGACAGCTGTTAAAAAGGATTTGAAATCATTAAAAAAAAAAACCATAACGCATGTTTTGTTTCCTAAACATGTTAAGGAAAAAAAAACTCTGAAAGGTAGAAGAATGTGTTGTTTCCCTTAAAATTCATTCAAAGAGGAATTGACATTTCATGTTATTTTCTTTTTCTTTTTCTCTTGGAAATATTTTAATGTTTTACAACTTCTTTTCCTCAAGACACATTTTCACAGTTTGTGAATTCAGTTACTGGTTGTATTAAGTATCTTGGTGTATGTGTTATAGGAATCCGTTATATGCAGCCCGAGCGACCCTGGTTAGTACTGAGGCCCTGAAGAGTAAAGGGATGTACAACGAGGCTGCCTTACAGTTCATTAAGCTCACCAGCGAGGTACAGCTAACATCTCTACATCTGCCATACCTTCCACACGCCAGCAAACCACACATCACCAACATACACACTGTAAATGACACTTACCATTTGTAGCAGTATTTCAATACTAATTACATCTCACTACATATAGTATACATTTATATTGTAAAGTAACATTACACACATACCTCTTTTACCTGGCAATAGGCTTGTACCTGGTAATAAGTCCATACATGACAATAAGTCTGTGTCTGGTAATAAACATGTGTCAGGTAATAATTCCTCATCTGACAATAAGATTTTACATGGCAATAAGCCCATACCTGGTTATAAGCCAGTGCTCCAGATAGCCTGCGTGAATGCGTTTTCACGCACAATATTTCTAATTTCACGCTAGGAAAAAAATAAGATTCTGTCATTAACCCTGGAAAATAAACAATGTGTCAATATTACGTAGTTAGAAAACTCAATAATCTAAGTCAAACAGACACTTATCAAGTAAACGAAACTCCTAACAAGCGCTTTCTTGATCGTGATTATAAACCAGTCGCATAGCAAATATGGCGCTGTCAAAAATGTTTACAAATTCAGTGTTACCCTAATATGGTTCAATTTATAAGAAAACCCCACATGTCAAAAAGTTATCTGGAGCACTGTAAGCACATACCTAGTAATAAGCATATAATTGGCAAAAAGCCTATATCTGGTAATAAACCCATGCATAACAATAAGGCCGTACCTGGTAATAATCTTATACCTGGTTATAAGCAGATAACCTGGTTATAAGCAGTTACCTGGTAATAAGCCCATTAATATCTATCTGGGTTGCAGAAGAAATGCCAAGAAATGTTATATCATTGCCCTATAATAAGCCCAGCCTTCCAATTTTGGTCACAGGTAATGTGTAGAAGCTCAGGTTGTGGGCTTACCACAGAACAAATGAGGTATATGCTAAAACGGATGGTTATAATATACCATTGTATACAATTATATGTTGATTTTGTACACTTGTTTAAAAAGATGGTAAATTTTTATATACAAACACTTTATAATCTCATACTGACACACAACTTTCTCTATGTTTGATTGATTTTCATTGGTTTTCACTCCAAATTTTTACACTTATTCTGTAATTCTATTGTATTTCCTGATCAGAAGTTTTAACAATGTGTTACATAAACAGATCAATAGAGCTGTATTGTACATAGTTTTTGTTGTATAAGACATAATATTTAGATAGATTGTGGATGATAATTCATGATAAGCCCCACATTATCAGATAAAATCATTTACTGTAATGAAAATTAATTTGATCAGGACTCGGACCTCAGAAGCGCCTTACTGCTGGAACAGGCAGCCCACTGTTACATCAATATGGAGACACCCAAGGTCCGCAAGTATTCCTTCCATATGATCTTGGCAGGTCATCGCTACAGCAAGGCTGCTCAGGTAAAACCATCATCCTTGATTATACTCTTGATAATTGAATTAGTTTCCTATTCTGTTGAAACTAGAATCTGTTACAAGGTAAAGAGATTCAAAATAGAGAGTTTATAACTGTTACAAGAGGATTTTCAGAGACATTCATGGCTAATGACATCTAGAGTAAATTTGAATAAATGTAGGATGTTTCAAATTCTTTAGCTGGATAGAAACTAGAAATTGACATTCTTTGGAATGCTGATTTACAGAAATGCATTGTGTGCCATTTCATTGCAGAGGAAGCATGCTCTACGAGCCTATTCGCAAGCTTTGCAGGTGTACAAAGGCAAAAACTGGTCCCTGGCTGAGGTAGGTCGGTTTTAGTTCTCTCACAATTTATTGTGCAATAGGAATTATTTCATGTGGAACTGTAAAAACTTTTCTGAAAATATTGCTGTGGTATGAACTATGTGCATATTCACATTTCTTCTTTACAGGATCACATCAATTTCACTCTTGGTCGTCAGTCGTTTAACCTTAAACAGTTAGAGAATGCCACAGCTGCCTTCAAACACCTTTTAACTGAGAACAGCAAGCAGATAGCTAGTCAACAGGGTGCCTTCCTCCGGGAATACCTGTTTGTATACAAGGTATGTGTCTAACCACCCCACCTTTTGTAATGGATTCTCCACTTCTCTCTATCCTGGTGGCAGTTATTCACCAGGATTGTTTCCCTTTATAGAAATCTTTGTTTTTATGTTAGTCTCATATCATGACTTTTGGTGATACTAGGTCGAAACAAATTCATTTCACTCTTGCAGGCAGATGTCTGTATGAATGAAGAATCAAATGGCTCAAACTATGTTGTAAATTCTTTGCCAGGTCATTGGCAGCTTTTGTTCTACATCGATTGTAACATATATTTGAATAATCGATGTGTGTTGTACATTTTTGTGCAGTCTCAGCACAAGTGAGATGAAGGTGTTTATAAGTATGTACTAAGTAAATTAGCCTCTAGTTTCTATATACAATTTGACTGTTAAAGAGGTGACAACTGAAACTAAACATTATTAGAAAATCTAATTTTTCAGATGAAAGTTTAAAACTTTTGTTTAAATCTTTTAATAAAATTCAGATTTCTTTGTACATTCCTTCAAGAAAATTTTAAAGTTATTTAAGATAATGTTTAAGAAAGTGATATTGAATCAATTTATCAGAGTAATATTTTCTTGAATATCTATAGATATTGTGGAAAGAATTGGGGTCATCAAGACATCATTCAGTGAAAACTTTGTTAATATGTTTGTTTATAAATGTTTATAAAACAAGCTATTTGTTCTCCACAGCAATTATTGAGTCAAGAGGCAGGAGAGTATGGTCACAATACCCGACCCCTGCCAGAGTTACCACTCCCAGTCCTGGACAGCAACTCCACCAAAGTACTTCTGGGGGCCAGACCACAGCCCAGTCAAGGTAAGTTTCTACTGTGTGTCAGATCATAACCCAGCTAAAGTAGGGTACTGATGAAGGTCAGGCTAGAGCCCAGTCAAGTGAAGTTAATATTTGGGGCCGTACTACAGCCCAGCCAAGGTAAGATACTATTGGGAGCCAGGCTACAGCCAGTCAAGTTTAAATAGGGTGGTCGGTAGTAACACACTTGCCTTTCACCTAGCTGTCCAGGGTTCGATTCCTGGAATGGATGTGAAAAGGTATAGGGTCACCAGGCCCTCCCACAGTAAGTCCGTGTGTGCTTCCAGCCGGACCAACAAGAGTGATTAATTTAAGTTGGAAAAACTTGTTTCGCAATTTGACAGTTCCTACATGTGGAAGTTTGTGCTCTTTCAGAAGGAAGTAGACCAGAGTGTTGTTGTTGTTTTGTACTTGGACAAGATACTTATTGTTCTGGATGGTTATTACAAGGAAACCCCACCTCAAAATCACCCACATTGTTCACAAGGTGATAAACCGAACAAATAATATCTATGTTCCTTCATCCAGACATTTAAAAGTACTTATTAAAAATTCTGTTATTTTCCTTCAGCACCTGACAAAGTAGCTACATCTGGAGTTTGGTTTGACCACAAAGAGAGTAATCATCCCCGATGGCAGAAGCTGGAGGAGGCATTAGTGGCCGCTGCTGTAGGGGGTCTACCTAATACATTTAGGCCGACGCTTCAGTGCTACACCAATAGAACCGACAATAAATACAGTCCTGTGGGATTTGTTGGAGGTATAGTCAATTCTTATAAATATTTGTTCTTCTCTGAGTTATAACTTTAGTGAAAACTTAACTTGATACTGAAATTTTGATTCAGTGAAATGATTTGTTGTGAATCATGGTTTTGATTTATGTATTAGCCACCTGGGCTTTTTGTAGAATGAATATGTTTGGAAAAGTTTAGTTAATGATAATCGAAATTGAGCAAAATTTTGAGATACAGACTTTATTTTTGTATGAAAAGATATTTTTTGAAGGTTTGCTGAAAAATTATATTAATTTGTAGTATCAGAGTTTCTTTCTTAAAAACATTAATGATGGATAATATATCAGTAAAGATTATTTTAAATGAAAAAAGTCAGCCAGTTGAAGAAAGGATTGAAGAAATCCTTTTACAAATAGTCAAACATCTTCACTGACCTCGTCTGATTAATTTTTCCACAGAGCCAATCATCGTGGAGGTGTACCTGGTGAACCCTCTGAAGGTCATGCTAGTGCTAACAGAGGTGACACTGCTGTGGAGTTTCCTCCCCAGCCTACCAGGACAGGATAAAGCCCAACTTATCACTAACGAGGTGTCCTCAACCTCTGTCAAGGTCAGTAGTTTACACTGCTCATTTCTAATAAAAATTATAACTCATTTAATGTGGCTAATGCTTTAAAATCAGTCTCAACACAAAATATGTGATTTAATAATATACCAATTGTGCAGTGATTTACAGTGTATTTCTGATAGGTGATCTAATGTCATTAATTTTCATATTTGTCAAAAATTTTAAGAATTGCAGTTTTTGATTATCAAAATGGTTCACATATTGCATTAAAATTGAAAAGATACGGAAAAACATATCATGTTTCATATAGATGTAGTTTGTTTTGTGGGACACTTCAGACCATCTGTTGTGTTCAGCTAGTCCATTATAATCTGGATGTTTATCCTGTAGAATACACTTGCCAATGAGATCATCCAGACACAGGTCATTGACGAAATCATCATGGATGCAAACAGCAAATTGACGGTCAGTTGGAGTTATTTTCCATCTTATGATCATTATTAATACGTTTCTAAAATATTAAGACTTTTCTACTAATAAACAAATTTTTGGTTACAGAATTAACAGGCATGTCATTTTCCCAGTCCATTCCTCTAACATATTAATAGCCTACTTTCTTCAATGCTGAGTGTCAGATGCATCAAGTACCATTTTGATAGATCAGGTATAACATAGCTTGAGTGTAGGTCCCATAACTTTCACAACAGGAATGAACACTTGATTTAAAGTCCAAATCGAAACAGAAACATTACAAAGAAAATGAATTTGTTTAGGAGAAAAGTTCTCTAATCTGTATCTCCTTTAAATTAAAAAAAAAAATCAATAAAATTGATCCCAATGTAAATATAGGATTTAACATCAACTTGATACAATTAATGTATAGCATATTTTTTTGAGGACTTTTTTGTAACTTTCAGGGTTGGATAAAATCATGAGAAACAGATTCCAAGGAAATGATTTTTTTCATAATGCAATACGCGTACTTTTTAGATTAGTTTGTACCATAATGTGCATGAAAAATACACCTCTTTTTCTTTCCAGCTTTTTGTAAAAGTGAAAGTTTGAATGGTCAAAAAAGATTTAAAGAAAAAAACCTTTATAATCATTTTATGAAACAGTTTTTAAAGAAAAAATGTTTTTGTTTTAGACTCAGATCACCTTAACTCCACATCAGACAGGAGAGCTGAGAATTGTGGAGATATCCTACAACCTTGGAGGTGTTCTTATTGAGGGAAATGGTCCCAAACCAAACATGTCTAACACCATATTTGTCAGAGGTAAACAGAAGCTTGAGGTTCAAGGCCCTCGTCTCAACATTACCAAAGAAGATAAAGCTAACAAGATGTATGGGCCAGATCGAAGACTCGATCTCGTTATACAACAGGAAATGCCTTTATTACAGGTTAGTAATCACTAATTGTCGATATCAAATATGGAACTGTATCATGGTGAGTCTAGAGGCAACTTTGTATATATTTGATATCTAAGGACGTAGTAGTTTGGCAGTTGTATAATATCTTGACTAGGCATTGTTAGTTTAAAGCCTGTACAAGTCAGGAGTCAAATATTGTCCATCTTCTTCAGTTATGTTAAAGTGTTTAAATGTCAATAAATTGACACAATTTATCGTAATCAGTAATTTAGTTGATAAGGATTGTTTCATACTTTAATTTCAAAATGTTTACATTGGAAATAATTGTACCTATAAATAAAAACAATAATGAACCAATATCTGAGTTATAACATTAACTGTTGCATATATGCTTTATTGTGTGTTTTTTAACTTACAGGTCTCGTTTTGTAATTTTCCTCGTACACTGTTATGTGGCGAGGTTCATGCTGTGATGTTACAGTTCACAAACGTTGGTTCTAGTCCCCTTCACAAACTCAAGGTTGCTTCAACGTGTCCCGAGTTTTTTACACTTGGTTGCCATGGACAACTTCCAAAATTTCCGTGTGTTTATCAGTCGGCAATGGATGTAGGTGTAAGTGACAGTGAATGTATGTGTAATTCTATATCTAAAGACAGTGTTAATGTAACACGCGTTGTTGACATTGACTTACCCAGTGGAACTCTTCAGCCAAAAAGTACAATTTCAATACCCGCCTGGATACGGGGAAACGACATAGGAGGAATTCACGAAATTCATTTTATGTTTTACTATGAACCAGTGCAACAGTTACCTAATATAAGGTAAGTTGACTGAACTTGATTCTCTAACAGTTTAGTAAAGATTTGTTAACGATTTATAGACAGATATAGTGTTTATCTAGTAGATGTATGTTGTATATCTGATACTAAATCAAAACATCATTCACACAGTGAGACAAATTCTGTTGAAAAGATTTTGTCTAATTGCAAGGATAATTCTTGAGAAGGCCAAGGGACCCTTGTCCCCTCAAAATTGAAATTTACCTTCTTATTTTGGACATTGGTTAAAAATTGCTGAAGATTACCCATGCTCTCAGCTTCCAGGATTTTTCTCTTCTATGTGGAAAATGTAGACATGCATTGAATATTATTTAGGTTTACCTTTGAGTCTGCTATCAAAAGCGCTGATCTTGTTGAAAAAATTAACGGGAAATTTTATTTCTAATTTTGTAGATATTTTGGTTGTAGTGCATACTCATCTACTTTGGATAATTTAAACAAAGACTTTTTAGGTCAGAGTAAAGAAAGTGTGTATTTAAATAAAAAGATGATTTTGGACAGCTAATAAAAACAACTAACCATATACATGTATTTGTTTAATCTAGCGGTGCTAATACTTCGCTGATTTGGGCTGGTTCATGGGGATTTGATTTCCTGTATGTTTACATATTTGTATACATATGTATTCAGGCATATAACATCAATTTTCTAAGATTTTGCTTTACAGTAAAATGTCTGTTTGACTTCATTCTTTTATGACTTTGAATATAGCAAAATTAAATCCAGTGCGAATATTGACAACTGCACAGCACATAGGTTCCTCCAGTATCACTAGATTAATTTGTGATGACTTAGTTACTCTGGGTCATGTAAACTCAGAATTTATACTTTGTCCCATATTAAAACTCTGGAGTGTTTACTTGGGATTGTATTTCAGATATAAAGGTCAAATTTCAGGGTCACAGTTACTATATATAAAAAAAAAGTTTTCATGTTATAACTTTGACCTCCTTTGGTCTATCAAACTCAAATTTGTAATTTCACTTACCTTGGTAAAGAATTTTTTGGATTGGCAAAAAAAACATGGAATTCTTGTTGTTAATGAAGCAGAAATACACTATCATTTTTTTTGGCTCTCTGTATCTTTAGTTCATTGTGAAAGATAACCATTCAAACATGGGGAAATTGGGTATTGTGTAATATTTTGAGTCTTTGTATACTCAAAAAAGGTAGAAATTGATTGCAAATCCCAGGTAATTTTTTTAGTCACACTTTTATGCCACTGATATGCCTGTATCCTACTTCAACAGGAGATGTTATGAAACTGATATCCCTATATTCTATTTCAGCCATAGACTATTACGCCACACTGCGGTAGTGAATACACTAGAGTCTCTGAGTGTACGAGCTATTGCGCACCGAGGCAACAACACAAGCTCACATCCAAACGGTCACCGAGGTTCCTGTGTTGTTATGTGTGAACTAGAAAACCTTAGTCAGGTATATTTGTGTTTTCTCTATGAACAAAACTAACGATGCTGTAAATATCATTTGACTTCCAAAATTGTGTTCAAGAGGTAGATTGTTTAAACTGATTAAACAACAGTTGTAAATCAGGACCAAAACTGACCTTTGAATTTTCAAAACAAAAGACTTTTTTTTTGTCGGTCAGAAAGATTTACAAAATATTCATTTTAGATTATGTTGATTATCTTGGCCAAATGCAAGTGTAATCTGCTGATTTCTAGGATGAGTTTGGGGATTTTTACAGATACAAAGTCAGCGTGCGTATGTTAAGGAGATTCAGATCAACCAGGTGTCATGTGCTAGTGAAGAATGGACTATACAGTACCTCAATTCTCAACACGTCAAATCAGAGATACAGATCGGCAGTCGGGAAACCATGCAACTATGTTTGAAAGCTGTCCGTAGTTCTACAAATTTAGGTAAGTATCACTTGTGTCTGAAAGCTGTCCATAATTCTAAAGTAACTATTGAGGCTGTACCTGAAAGATATTTATAGATTTATGTGACTATTGTAAGTTATTTGGTAGTGAAATGTGTTAGGCTCTGTTCCTGTCCGTCTCATTAAAGGTGCATATTATGATGGTATTAATCTGAGTAAAATATTATAGACCAGGAGAAAAGTTGATGAGGTTTTATGTGGCAAGGACACAAGACATAATATTTGTTTTCCTGTTTCTTGTATTATAGATACTATCATGGGTAAAGAGTCTTGTATTATAGATACTATCATGGGTAAAGAGTCTATTGTGTTCAGTGATGTTTCTTGTATTATAGATACTATCATGGGTAAAGAGTCTTGTATTATAGATACTATCATGGGTAAAGTGTCTTGTATTATAGATACTATCATGGGTAAAGAGTCTTGTATTATAGATACTATCATGGGTAAAGTGTCTTGTATTATAGATACTATCATGGGTAAAGTGTCTTGTATTATAGATACTATCATGGGTAAAGTGTCTTGTATTATAGATACTATCATGGGTAAAGAGTCTTGTATTATAGATACTATCATGGGTAAAGAGTCTTGTATTATAGATACTATCATGGGTAAAGAGTCTTGTATTATAGATACTATCATGGGTAAAGTGTCTTGTATTATAGATACTATCATGGGTAAAGAGTCTTGTATTATAGATACTATCATGGGTAAAGAGTCTTGTATTATAGATACTATCATGGGTAAAGAGTCTTGTATTATAGATACTATCATGGGTAAAGAGTCTTGTATTATAGATACTATCATGGGTAAAGAGTCTTGTATTATAGATACTATCATGGGTAAAGAGTCTTGTATTATAGATACTATCATGTATTATAGATACTATCATGGGTAAAGAGTCTTGTATTATAGATACTATCATGGGTAAAGTGTCTTGTATTATCTTGTATTATAGATACTATCATGGGTAAAGAGTCTATTGTGTTCAGTGATGTTTCTTGTATTATAGATACTGTCATGGGTAAAGAGTCTATTGTGTTCAGTGATGTTTCTTGTATTATAGATACTATCATGGGTAAAGAGTCTTGTATTATAGATACTATCATGGGTCTTGTATTATTGTGGCCGTAAAGCGTCTTGTATTATAGTACCGCCGTGCGATGTCTTGTATTATAGATACTATCATGGGTAAAGAGTCTTGTATTATAGATACTATCATTAAAGACTACTATTATAGATACTATCATGGGTAAAGAGTCTATTGTGTTCTAGTGATGTTTCTTGTATTATAGATACTATCATGGGTAAAGAGTCTTGTATTATAGATACTATCATGGGTAAAGAGTCTATTGTGTTCAGTGATGTTTCTTGTATTATAGATACTATCATGGGTAAAGAGTCTTGTATTATAGATACTATCATGGGTAAAGAGTCTTGTATTATAGATACTATCATGGGTAAAGAGTCTTGTATTATAGATACTATCATGGTGTAAAGATGTCTGTAAAGATGTAAAGAGTCTTGTATAGATACTATCATGGGTAAAGAGTCTTGTATTATAGATACTATCATGGGTAAAGACTTGTAAAGGTATCATGGGTAAAGAGTGTATTATAGATCTTTAAACAACTTCTTCTCATGTATTGTAGATACTATCATGGGTAGATGCCAGTTCTTGTATCATGGGTAAAGAGTCTATTGTTTGTTCTTGTATTATAGATATGGGTAAAGAGTCTTGTATTATAGATACTATCATGGGTAAAGAGTCTTGTATTATAGATATATACTATCATGGGTAAAGAGTCTATTGTGTTCATGTGAAGAGTCTTGTATTATAGATACTATCATGGGTAAAGAGTCTTGTATTATAGATACTATCATGGGTAAAGAGTCTTGTATTATAGATACTATCATGGGTAAAGAGTCTTGTATTATAGATACTATCATGGGCAAAGAGTCTATTGTGTTCAGTGATGTTTCTTGTATTATAGATACTATCATGGGTAAAGAGTCTTGTATTATAGATACTATCATGGGTAAAGAGTCTATTGTGTTCAGTGATGTTTCTTGTATTATAGATACTATCATGGGTAAAGAGAGTATTATAGATACTATCATGTAAAGAGTCAATTATACTTTCTTGTATCATGGGTAGATACAAAGAGTCTTGTATTATAGATACTATCATGGGTAAAGAGTCTTGTATTATAGATACTATCATGGGTAAAGAGTCTTGTATTATAGATACTATCAGGACTACCAGAGTTTGTAGATCTATCATGGGTAAAGAGTCTTGTATTATAGATACTATCATGGGTAAAGAGTCTTGTATTATAGATATGATATAGATACTTCATGGGTAAAGAGTCTTGTATTTAGTGTTCAGTTTCTTGTATTATAGATACTATCATGGGTTCTTGTATTATAGATACTATCAAAAGGTAAAGATGTCTTGTATTATAGATACTATCATGGGTAAAGAGTCTATCAAGTGTTGTGATGTTTCTTGTATTATAGATACTATCATGGGTAAAGAGTCTTGTATTATAGATACTATCATGGGTAAAGAGTCTATTGTGTTCAGTGATGTTTCTTGTATTATAGATACTATCATGGGTAATTGTGTTCAGTGATGTTTCTTGTATTATAGATACTATCATGGGTAAAGAGTCTTGTATTATAGATACTATCATGGGCAAAGAGTCTATTGTGTTCAGTGATGTTTCTTGTATTATAGATACTATCATGGGTAAAGACTATCATGGGTAAAGAGTCTATTGTGTTCAGTGATGTTTCTTGTATTATAGATACTATCATGGGTAAAGAGTCTTGTATTATAGATACTATCATGGGTAAAGAGTCTATGTATTATAGATACTATCATGGGTAAAGAGTCTATGTTTCTTGTATTATAGATACTATCATGGGTAAAGAGTCTTGTATTATATATACTATCATGGGTAAAGAGTCTAAGATTTTTGTATTATAGATATTATCATGGGTAAAGAGTCTTGTATTATAGTACTTCATGGGTAAAGAGTCTATTGTGTTCAGATGTTTCTTGTATTATAGATACTATCATGGGTAAAGAGTCTTGTATTATAGATACTATCATGGGTAAAGAGTCTATTTGTGTTCATGTGATGTTTCTTGTATTATAGATACTATCATGGGTAAAGAGTCTTGTATTATAGATACTATCATGGGTAAAGAGTATTATAGATACTATCATGGGTAAAGAGTCTTGTATTATAGATACTATCATGGGTAAAGAGTCTTGTATTATAGATACTATCATGGGTAAAGAGTCTTGTATTATAGATACTATCATGGGTAAAGAGTCTTGTATTATAGATACTATCATGGGTAAAGAGTCTTGTATTATGATACTATCATGGGTAAAGAGTCTTGTATTATAGATACTATCATGGGTAAAGAGTCTTGTATTATAGATACTATCATGGGTAAAGAGTCTTGTATTATAGATACTATACTAAAGAGTTCTTGTATTATATCATGGGTAAAGAGTGTATTATGTGTTCATGGGTAAAGATGTTTCTTGTATTATAGATACTATCATGGGTAAAGAGTCTTGTATTATAGATACTATCATGGGTAAAGAGTCTTGTATTATAGATACTATCATGGGTAAAGAGTCTTTATTATGTTCATGGGTAGATACTATCATGGGTATTATAGATACTATCATGGGTAAAGAGTCTTGTATTATAGATACTATCATGGGTAAAGAGTCTTGTATTATAGATACTATCATGGGTAAAGAGTCTATTGTGTTCAGTGATGTTTCTTGTATTATAGATACTATCATGGGTAAAGAGTCTTGTATTATAGATACTATCATGGGTAAAGAGTCTATTGTGTTCAGTGATGTTACTTGTATTATAGATACTATCATGGGTAAAGAGTCTTGTATTATAGATACTATCATGGGTAAAGAGTCTATTGTGTTCAGTGATGTTTCTTGTATTATAGATACTATCATGGGTAAAGAGTCTTGTATTATAGATACTATCATGGGTAAAGAGTCTATTGTGTTCAGTGATGTTTCTTGTATTATAGCATGGGATACTATCATGGGTAAAGAGTCTTGTATTATAGATACTATCATGGGTAAAGAGTCTATTGTGTTCAGTGATGTTTCTTGTATTATAGATACTATCATGGGTAAAGAGTCTTGTATTATAGATACTATCATGGGTAAAGAGTCTATTGTGTTCAGTGATGTTTCTTGTATTATAGATACTATCATGGGTAAAGAGTCTTGTATTATAGATACTATCATGGGTAAAGAGTCTATTGTGTTCAGTGATGTTTCTTGTATTATAGATACTATCATGGGTAAAGAGTCTTGTATTATAGATACTATCATGGGTAAAGAGTCTTGTATTATAGATACTATCATGGGTAAAGAGTCTTGTATTATAGATACTATCATGGGTAAAGAGTCTATTGTGTTCAGTGATGTTTCTTGTATTATAGATACTATCATGGGTAAAGAGTCTTGTATTATAGATACTATCATGGGTAAAGAGTCTTGTATTATAGATACTATCATGGGTAAAGAGTCTTGTATTATAGATACTATCATGGGTAAAGAGTCTTGTATTATAGATACTATCATGGGTAAAGAGTCTCGTATTATAGATACTATCATGGGTAAAGAGTCTCGTATTATAGATACTATCATGGGTAAAGAGTCTCGTATTATAGATACTATCATGGGTAAAGAGTCTTGTATTATAGATACTATCATGGGTAAAGAGTCTTGTATTATAGATACTATCATGGGTAAAGAGTCTTGTATTATAGATACTATCATTGGTAAAGAGTCTCTTGTGTTCAGTGATGTTTCTTGTATTATAGATACTATCATGGGTAAAGAGTCTTGTATTATAGATACTATCATGGGTAAAGAGTCTATTGTGTTCAGTGATGTTTCTTGTATTATAGATACTATCATGGGTAAAGTGTCTTGTATTATAGATACTATCATGGGTAAAGAGTCTTGTATTATAGATACTATCATGGGTAAAGAGTCTATTGTGTTCAGTGATGTTTCTTGTATTATAGATACTATCATGGGTAAAGAGTCTTGTATTATAGATACTATCATGGGTAAAGAGTCTCGTATTATAGATACTATCATAGGTAAAGAGTCTATTGTGTTCAGTGATGTTTCTTGTATTATAGATACTATCATGGGTAAAGAGTCTTGTATTATAGATACTATCATGGGTAAAGAGTCTTGTATTATAGATACTATCATGGGTAAAGAGTCTATTGTGTTCAGTGATGTTTCTTGTATTATAGATACTATCATGGGTAAAGAGTCTTGTATTATAGATACTATCATGGGTAAAGAGTCTATTGTGTTCAGTGATGTTTCTTGTATTATAGATACTATCATGGGTAAAGAGTCTTGTATTATAGATACAATCATGGGTAAAGAGTCTATTGTGTTCAGTGATGTTTCTTGTATTATAGATACTATCATGGGTAAAGAGTCTTGTATTATAGATACTATCATGGGTAAAGAGTCTATTGTGTTCAGTGATGTTTCTTGTATTATAGATACTATCATGGGTAAAGAGTCTATTGTGTTCAGTGATGTTTCTTGTATTATAGATACTATCATGGGTAAAGAGTCTATTGTATTCAGTGATGTCCCCTTCGACACTCAACAGGTAAGAATTGCTGAGATAATTGTTGGACTTACATTAAAGTTTTGAAAAAATAAATTGTACCTTTTAATCAATTTCTTAATTCCGAAACATAATCACAGACACCATCACCGTCACACATACACAATGATAAAAGGTACAGCTATGTACTGGAAGTGTATGCAGGGATGGATGCAAATTAAAACTCGCATGAGAATTCAATAAACAATGTATAATGTATTATTTTAATCTTCGGATCATCTGAGGATGAGTTTGCAGTAAAATAAACATTCCTATAGTGTAGTTCTGTAACACGCTCAACACCCAGCAGGCAAACATAATGTACAGGAAACCTTGTTGTCTAATGCCTGTTATATCAAGACCACACTACAGTCTGTTTATATAGCCATGAAATAAGAAAGAAAATAGGACATGATGTTAAACAAGTATCATAAAGAGATGGTTTTGGCTTGTAATTTTTCCCTCAGATATGCAGTGCAATGACCCCTTGTGCAGACTTTTTCTTCCGATCAAAATGCAGTATTAAGCCTCTGGATCCAGAAGCAGAGGTCCCTGTGCCTCCGAGTAAACGGAAGACGTCGGAATTCACCGATCTTAACTGTGCCATACAAGTAGGCTTCACGCTGGTCATCTTGTGGAAGGTAAGAGCTGAAGGTTACTAAATTACTGTGAAATGGTTAATATTTTGATGGAGCTATTTTCAGTGTTATGTTTAGTCATAATCTAGGAATGTATTTGTCCCGAAATATCATAAATTGTTAAAATTTTGACATATCCTTTTAGTATTCCATGAGTATAACTATTTGATGAAATCAAATGCCTATGAAGTAGTTTTTTTTTTAAAACTACTGGCCATGAAATCATTGTCAAATATGCTATTATTTGGTACTGTTTAAATTCAATTATCTTTTTTTTTTTGACTTGTCTGTGCTAGCTTTACCTGGAATCTTATCATTTTATAAAATCTTGAACATCAAATATAAAACAGGAGAAAAGTGAAAGAATAAAAAAAACAAAGTATATGGGAAATGAAATGAGGCTAATAATGATCTATTTTTAGATATTTTTGGTTTCTCTACAGGCTTGTGTAGTCAATGAGGATGGAGAAGTACAGATCAGAGTAGGTCAACACCATGTGACTTTGGAGAAAATTGACAACATCTTCACCTCCTATCCTTATGTTCTTGTGAGTCACCAGTTATTGTATGACCCATACCACAGAAATTGATTTAAAACTTCATGGTTGAAATTTAAACCAGCTGTATTATTGTAGATTGAAATGAATAAAGAGACCCATGTTTGGTTATTTTTCTCACATCTATAAAAAAACGCATGAATAGATTAATTATAAGTTCTTGTGAAAACAATTCACCCTGCCATTATTAATGTGCCATGAAATGTGCGTCGAAATTGATGACATCATCAATTTGCAGCATGGTTACACTACATGAAATGATGACTCTACCCCATTATGTGTAGTGTCATAGTGTTTGCCAGCTGTCTACCTGTGCGAGATAGAGTTATCCAATCCTTAACAACCACCTGGAATCACCCTGTTAAGTGTGTGAGAAGACTTCATCTGTAATTTGAAAGTGAAATTTTTATTTTATTTAATAGTAGTGCCACGGTTATTTCTATTGTGGATGTTTGTTGATTTTTTTGTACAGATTCCGACAGAACAACCAGCTGTTAGATTTGTGATGAAGGACCGGGAGGCAGAGGCATCCACCCCTGACTCAGAAGTTACCACACAGCTGGTTGATCTCAATTTTAACCATAGGTCAGAGGTCAAACACAATTTCAGCAATGGCAGGTATGACAATATTTGATAGAGTGCCATAAACATGTAAATGATTTTAATATTCTGAAAGGGTAGAAACTTTGATAATGCTGAAGTATCTATTTTGCCAGACCTGAGTTTAAAAGATTAGACTTTCGAAAATAAATTGCAATGTTAAAAGAAGAATCATAAATTTTTGTGTTCATTGCATATAGTAAAAATTACTAAAAATTTCACAAATGATATTATCGTTATTTTGTCATTAAAATACTTTTATAAAATGCTTTTGGTCCAAAGTTTGTATTTTTATTGGGAATAATTTAAAAAGGCGATGTATCTATCTAAAATTATTGTATATATCTGAAATAAACCATGATGGCCAACACATCACCTCTGACATTGCAGCAGAAAGGTTTTTTGCAGGTTAATGGTAAATCATTCCATCTCATTTTTATAAAACTAAGATAAGATGGGCTTATTACCGGACATGGGCTTGTTATCAGAAAAATGGGGTAGTTGAGCTATTGACTTGTCTGTGAAAGTAAGAATTATATGTAAACAAAAATTCTGCATATCTGTAGATTGTGCCAAGTTCCAGTGACGTTACTTCTTCAAAATTGCTCAAAAGTGACGCTGGATGTTCTGGTTGATACAAGTCAAACCCCTGACAGGTATGTGTATGGAAGACAGAACAGTAGAACTGTTATCTGTAGTTTGTGATTTCAACATTTACAAATTTTAGATTTCATAACCTCTCTGATCTTGGATCATTAACTAACTCCATATGCTGTCTTTAGTGTTATGTGGGGTTTTTTTTTTAGCCCAGATGGTGGGCTTTTCAGATCACCTTGCATCTGCGGTCCATCATCAGTCTGTCCATCTGTCCCTAAACAATTTTTTTTATATCACTATTTCTTGAGAAGTCCTGGATGGATCTTTCTTAAATTTCATATTGAGGTTTCCCCTGGTCCCTAGTTGTGCCTGTTTGATTTTGGGTATGATAAAAAAAAAATTGGCTGACAGGCAGCCATCTTGTGTTTTAACTTTGAAAGTTTGCTATTTCTTGAAAAGTACTGAATGGATCTTTCTCAGATTTCATATGTATGTTCCCCCTAGTCCCTAGTTGTGCCCGTGTAATTTTGGATATCTCTCAAATTCCATACATATGTTCCCATTGATCTCTCCTTGTGCTTGTTTCCTTCTGGGTCTGATCAGAAGAAACAAAATGGCTTCCAGATGGCCATTTTGGATTTGGCAGATAAAGATTATCATTTATTTCTGCAAAGGGGTGTTCCAATGTCTTATCATTAAGAGCGAAAACAGAGAAAAGAAGGGAAATATCTAACTTTCAAAGAGCAAATAAAGATCAAACAATGGTGGGCGCCAAGATCCCTCTGGGATCTCTTGTTCACATAACTAACCTCTTTTTGCGATGTCATTCATATATATATGTACTTCATGTGACATCAATAGGATAACACTGTTATGATGTCCAGAATAATTATTATTTGGTGGTCAGGTGGCATAGTGGTAACACATCCGCCCTTCACCTAAACTTTCTGCATTGGATTAGATAAGGTAAGGGGTCACCTGCACGAACACTCTGTCAACTAAGGAAGGGCATCTCACTGTTTGAAATGTGGAATGGTAATACACAAGAGATATGATTTGAGTCAGTTTTGATGTGCCTACTTAAGTGATGCTTGTCATAGTGAAATTTATTTTGTAATAGACATTGCATTCACCACAAATATCTGGTTATAGATAGTTTTAGACACTACTGCTGTCAGAGCATTGAGTAGTTTTAGACACTACTGCTGTCAGAGCATTGAGTAGTTATAGACACTACTGCTGTCAGAGCATTGAGTAGTTTTAGACACTACTGCTGTCAGAGCATTGAGTAGTTTTAGACACTACTGCTTTCAGAGCATTGAGTAGTTTTAGACACTACTGCTGTCAGAGCATTGAGTAGTTTTAGACACTACTGCTGTCAGAGCATTGAGTAGTTTTAGACACTACTGCTGTCAGAGCATTGAGTAGTTTTAGACACTACTGCTGTCAGAGCATTGAGTAGTTTTAGACACTACTGCTGTCAGAGCATTGAGTAGTTTTAGACACTACTGCTGTCAGAGCATTGAGTAGTTTTAGACACTACTGCTGTCAGAGCATTGAGTTGTTTTAGACACTACTGCTGTCAGAGCATTGAGTAGTTTTAGACACTACTGCTGTCAGAGCATTGAGTAGTTTTAGACACTACTGCTGTCAGAGCATTGAGTTGTTTTAGACACTACTGCTGTCAGAGCATTGAGTTGTTTTAGACACTACTGCTGTCAGAGCATTGAGTTGTGTCTCAGAGCATTGAGTAGTTTTAGACACTACTGCTGTCAGAGCATTGAGTTGTTTTAGACACTACTGCTGTCAGAGCATTGAGTTGTTTTAGACACTACTGCTGTCAGAGCATTGAGTAGTTTTAGACACTACTGCTGTCAGAGCATTGAGTAGTTTTAGACACTACTGCTGTCAGAGCATTGAGTTGTTATCGCTATATTCTCTTGTAAAATTAATACTGATTTATTATCTACACTATTTTGAAGGTTGAGCAGCAAATCTAATGAAGCATCAATGTATGACCACGCAGGAGAGTACCATCATAACAGCAGTTTTAACTGGGTTGGCCAGACCATCACACAGCTACGTCTGGAGGCCGAGCAGCAGGCTGCAGTGCAATTGTCTGCCTGCTTCAGCAAGCCAGGGATCTACAACCTGAACCGTGTGGCCGTGTTTGTGACTTACAGTCGTGACTCTAACAAGATGGTGCTCCAGAGACATAGCTCTCCTAGTGTTGTTGTCATCGGTGAAGTGTCGTGATTGTATTTCTTACGGAGCCTTCTGATGAGTGGGACAGTGATGGCTTCTCCTATAATAACGAAACATCAATTCAGTTGCTTGATTGGTATAAATGGAGTATTATCTGCTGACATTTGTATTGTCTTCCCTGATTTCCAGAATATCTGTTAAAGGTTTCAATAAATGTTTCCTCTCACTGGTTCAACAGCTGTGGGACCTTTCCAATGCTGGTGATATCAGGTAGCTTTCCAACTGGTGATCTGTCAGTGAAGGCTTTGATCTTCTGAATGAGTTTCTGTCAGGGAGGAGACAGTGGTTTGACATCAATGAAGCCATACTTCTGATGTTTATTAGGGAGAATATTACTGTGACAATAGTGAAGTTGGATTGATGTTTTGCCATGGAGGAGAATTGTGTTCTGTTATTGTCATGCCGTCAGTAAGGACTCAAGTAGCATCTTCTATTATTGACAAACAAAATTCAATTTGATTATGAAATTCAGTCAAATGATAGTGACATTCAGTGCTGAATATATGATGTAGGGTGAGTGTAAGGAATCTTCATCTGTGGAAACAGACTTTTTATTAAGGTGTTTGCACACAGGAGAGTTACAACACACTTTATCATCAGTACGGATACTTCAGACATTTTTATTTGATGCATCATGAAGCAGCTTTTATATACAACTGTTTGACATGTGCACAATATTGCTTCCATCACTATGGTGACCATGTATACACAACAACGTTGGTACAGACAAAACTGTTATTTATTGTTCCACATTAAACGCCCTTGACTGATGGCCAGTTGTCATCAATTTTTTGCAGTGAATCTGGCTAGTGTACACCACCGCTTATCAGATGATAATGTGTAGAAACTTATTTGGCCGTGATGTTCATCCACCGGTGTGACGTCGAAGGATGCGATTTAACCATTCCAATCATAAGTCTTGTATCTATCTAGTACCAAAGTATCTGGCTTGAAATATCTTATTATGAATATACTGGATGTTTTAAGAGATTCCACTAATTAAGCATTGACAGCTTCATAATGAAACTTATGAAAGTAAAAGTATACTTCATATAATCACAGATTTTGCACAATTTTAATGGCCATGTTAATTTTAATGAAAATCTGAATGGTAAATTTTAATTGAAATCTTGAGAGTTAGATTTTAATGGAAATCTGAGTGGTAGATTTTGATTGATATCTGAATGGTAGGTTTTGATTGATATCTGAATGGTTGGCTTATGCTACAGACATTAGATGGCTATGTGTGGTACTGTTTTGTGACTTTATGTGATCAGTGGAGGATGAACAGGAAGCCATGTACTGGTCACATTATATTTATCTAATGGCAAAATAACTGCCAATTTATCCTGTGATAATTCTTTTTACATGTTTTGGAGATATTACATTTGAATACTGTTCAAGACTTTGACGTTAATGTGAATTTTTGAATAACTAATGAAATGTGAATAATGTGCGATTATTTAAATGTGCAACTGTATTCACATCTTCAAGTCAACATTATACACCTGTCCAGAGACTGGTCGTTAGATGTCAGAAGATGTGAGTTATTATCAAGGGCATTGTCTGTCAAGGTCATTGTTAAGGTCATTGTCTGTCAAGGTCGTTTTTAAGGTCATTGTCAAGGTCGTTCTGCCCTTTGTGTTCAAGCTTGTATATAATGATATACAACAACCATTTTTATTGAACTGGGACAGACACAACAGAAGCTATTCCAAGGTAATTATTCTTTATTTGTTATGCTTATTAGATCAAGTCAAGTTAAATCACACAGATTTAGGACATGTCATGTTCTCTCATGCTAGATGAAAATCTGTGTTCTGAACTGTGCAAGTATTAGGTAATGGCAATATAGATACAATCAACTTGTTCACATGCATAAAATGATTAATCAAAGAAAATACCAAGTGCAATCAACATCTTGTTCAGGGTGATTGTATCATATTCGGTGTTGTTTTTTTTCTATTATTTTATTTTTTGTCGTAGAAATAAATCATAAATACGTAGACTGCTGTTGATGATTTATTGATAGTCCCAAATAAGATTTAGATCACAGTCACTTGAAAGTAACTGTCTCTCTTTTTCTTTTTTTATTGCAGAATTTTCAATTTTTCCTGGTTGTCTTCTTTTTGTTGGAATTCTGGTAACTCTTAATCCACGAATTTATATATCAACACAATGATAGACAAATAAATCTATATGGATTAAAGTAATAGGGAATTTTGTGCAAGATTTACTCACCAATGTAGTGCCATAAACAGTGCACAATTTTTGTAAAACCACAAAATTTGATCCCCATGAAAAAACAATATTCAGTGTTTGATTTGATAAAACAGTATGTCAAAGTTTGTTTAATATCTGTAATTAGTAATGAAATTAAGTCTGTTAAGAAAAATGTATGCCAGGCTAATTTTGTTATTTACTTTTATTGTCATTTTAAATTGTCTCAATAGCATTGATGAATGAAGACAGAAGAAATGAAAACAACAGAGTTTGTCAAAATTTAGGGATTCAGGAAGAGAAATTATCACAAATCTATGAATTTTTGTGAGTTATGTGTTTTGTGGAGGGAATATTTTTAAAGAAATTTTTCAGGCATTTTAATTGGTAGAATTTTTTGAGAAATTGATCATTAGACTTAAAGGCCCACAAAATTGAAGTCCCACAAAGGTATGATTTTACAGTATTTTAATCTTTCTTCGTCTTCCCAGTTAGCATATATGATATATGTATATTGATGGGGTAAACAATTTAAATACACCTTCCCTTAATTTCGTTGGCAAAGCTATGATATGTAAAGAAATATTTATGAAGTGCTAACATATTTTTTAATACCTTGTACTCTAAAAATGTAAATAGATATTTCTGGGAGCTAAAAAGTGTCTGGTCACTGGTAAGTTACTTGACAGAGTCTAAGGCAATAACAAATGTTTCTTCAATACAAATCAATATCATCAATAAAAACTAGGATATTGGGTGATATAAAACTGATATTTTGGAGAAATAAAGGAAAATGACTTCATTGTATTGCAATGATCAACTGTCTTTACATATTCTGACCGTATATTGAACAAATATTTATTGTTGGTAAATAAAGAATGTTATGTACTTTTCCATTTATTTGCAGAAATATTGTAAAATTTTGTGATACCTAGAAATATCCTACAAATTGCTTGGATTGGACTGCGCTTCAGACTCTGTCAGTTTTTAGGTTGATGGTTTTAATAATAGATTAATAGGATTATCATCAAGACATGATGTCAGAATACTCATAAAAAACTGTATTTAAATATTTCTCTTTGTGTTCTATCTCGATGGACTTTAAACAATACATTCCAGTTTGAAAACATCACCCCCACTCCTCTCCCCCACCCATCCCCTCCCCACAAAAAAAAAAAAAAAAAAAAAGTAGTTTTGTTCGATTTCAAACTAAATGTATTTGTAATAAACTTGCAGATTCCAAAACATTCTTATCCTTATCATAATGTTACTGATTCCCAAATTTGTATCATAGGTATCATTTTAAGCTGATTTTTTTTTTTCTGTTTTAATTATCTTGCTTAAAATAGGTGTAGTGTACTAGCTCTCCAGTGTTACATATTGTAGAGGTAACAAGTTTTATAGATATATTCCTACATACACAGTTTCACACAAGGATTGGATGACAGCTGCATTAAACTGTTGATAATCATTGATATGATTTCAAGTTCACAGGAAAAGATTCTTAATGCGTATGTTAAAAAAAAATTTGAAAACTGAAATATTCTAAACGAGGAAAAAAATAATGTTTTTGAAATTTTAAGATGTTTCTCGAAAAATGACATTCAGAAAATTGATCTAAATTATTAGTAGCTTTTGATCAGTTTATTTTCATTTGAACTTAGGTGATTAATTTCAATACACTTCGTAAGTAGTGCATTTTCTACCTATTTATTTCCAGTTGTTCTTCCAGATAGGATTTGAATGAATGATGTTAACAGCTTTTATTATTTAAAGATTGATATAAAGGTGTTAATACAGATTGTGATGACTGAATATTGTTGACACTTAAATGATTTGTTTTATTTTCTGTTATTGTTTTACGTGAATGATTGAGTTCTTTTTTGACATCAAGGGGAAATAACTCCACATTGGTTGCTCTTGTAATGCAGGGAAAAAGCGTTTTGTTTATTATTCATCATTATGCAGTTTATTATTCTTTTCCCCAAAAATTTGATTGCTAGAAAAAATACTGTATATTTGATTCTTGGGATTTGTGACCTTCATTTCCAGGCTAGCCTAGTGGTTATAACTCTGGGTCATATGTAGTACATCTATATAAGAGAGCTGTTTGATAGCTCTAGGCAAGATGTATATGTATGTGATGGTATATGGCTGTCTAATAGCCCCTGACAAGATTTCTCCCCAGATTCCATTAAAGTTGGACACCAGTAAATATGTTTGATCACCACCAACAAGATTTTCATTGTGATCATTACAGCCAGGTAAGAGTGTCTGATATATATATGTCTAGATATTATATTGTTGTAGATGTTAATCATACTATTCACACTATGACTGATAAGAATAAATGCTGTGTCAATTTAAACATGATAAACTCTGTACAATAGCCATTTTTGTCTATAGATCATCATGCTTCCTCTTATTTATACCAATATAGAATATTGTCTGGTTGAACTCAACATTCTTGACTTAATGACTTGACAAACACGTGCAGGTCTAGGTTTTTTGAAAATCTTTCACGTTGTGTTTGGATCAATACACAATTTTCTGCAAAGAATAAAAATACATTGCATTTTAACTTACAGTAGATACCAAATGAATTGATAGAATCTTTTTCTAGTTGTAATTATGTTAATCAGAATGTTCAAATGTATTGAAATGTATAGATGAAAATTAAATTTGGAATTGAGAATATTAGAATTTTTTCATTTCAAATTTTGCTGTTTATAACATTTGGGGGGGAAAAAGGGTCTGAAAATAAGAACTGTTTTATAATGTGTCTTTAAATATTGTTAAATTTATTTAGATTTAAATTATGAAAAAAAACTTAGCTGAGGTTCTGTGTTCTACTGGTGTAAGCTTAAAACTTCATATGTTCAAGGTTTCAGGAAATGTATTTAGCAATGTATCTGTGTATTACCTATGTAATATAATCACTTTACACAAGAGAGGTTGCAGATGAATAGTTGCTCCTGTGTACAATTGCCAGTCAACACTTACCAAGGACTTTAGTCACACTAGTAAGTCCCTGGTATGGTTTTTTTTTCTGTCTGTGATTAATAACATATGATGAATAAAAAAAACTATTGAAAGACTCAATTAATTGTGTTGTTGATTTCATTGAAGTGGAGTATCCAGGTATTGACATGAATTCTGTATGTTTATTTTATTGAAGTGGAGTATCCAGGTATTGACATGAATTCTGTATGTTTATTTCATTGAAGTGGAGTATCCAGGTATTGACATGAATTCTGTATATTTATTTTATTGAAGTGGAGTATCCAGGTATTGACATGAATTCTGTATGTTTATTTTATTGAAGTGGAGTATCCAGGTATTGACATGAATTCTGTATGTTTATTTTATTGAAGTGGAGTATCCAGGTATTGACATGAATTCTGTATGAATATTTTATTGAAGTGGAGTATCCAGGTATTGACATGAATTATGTATGTTTATTTTATTGAAGTGGAGTATCCAGGTATTGACATGAATTCTGCATGTTTATTTTATTGAAGTGGAGTATCCAGGTATTGACATGAATTCTGCATGTTTATTTTATTGAAGTGGAGTATCCAGGTATTGACATGAATTCTGAATATTTATTTGATTGAAGTGGAGTATCCAGGTATTGACATGAATTCTGTATGTTTATTTCATTGAAGTGGAGTATTCAGGTTTTGACATGAATTCTGTATGTTTATTTTATTGAAGTGGAGTATCCAGGTATTGACATGAATTCTGTATATTTATTTCATTGAAGTGGAGTATCCAGGTATTGACATGAATTCTGTATATTTACTTTATTGAAGTGGAGTATCCAGGTATTGACATGAATTCTGTATATTTATTTTATTGAAGTGGAGTATCCAGGTATTGACATGAATTCTGTATATTTACTGAAGTGGAGTATCCAGGTATTGACATGAATTCTGTATATTTATTTCATTGAAGTGGAGTATCCAGGTATTGACATGAATTCTGTATATTTATTGAAGTGGAGTATCCAGGTATTGACATGAATTCTGTATATTTATTTTTTTTAAAAATATCCTTTTATTAGTCATTTTTCATCCAATTTATTGGTTAAATCCTTTTAAATCCACCATCATCAGAATATGGTGTGACACCAATCCTTAGACTATTTTTGTTATAGTTATTTCTTCAGAAGCACTGGAAAGATTTTCACCAACAACCCACCCTCAGGTGGTAACAACAAAAACATGTATCGGCTGTTCGCAATGCACCGGTCTGAGAACGTACCGGTGATGCCATTTAATTCAATAATTGGATTACATATTGCATATTACGACAAAGCTGAAGGTCCTACTTAACGGTCAGTTAACACGTGTAATAAATTGATAAAGAGTTTCCAAATATAAAATTACTTAAATTAGAAACAGTCCTTGTATATAATTACTCTACTAATCTACATTGTCAAAATAGGAAAAGAAAATGGACTGTCCTCGTCAGTGCGTTTCCATGAACTGAGTTGCCAGCTCACCAGCTGCACGTGTACCTCTGGCCAATTCGGGTGTGCCACCTATTAGGCGATCCGTTGGAGAAAACTATTTCGCGCATTCCTTATAGTCAACCGCGCGAAATAATAACTTCAGAATATCATAATAAGGTTTCCCTTGTTCTCAAATAGTGTCCTTATAATTTTGAGAAAAAAAATCCAGACAGGCACCCATCATGAATTTTGAAGATGGAAATTTGTTATCGCAACCTCTTGAGGCTGATTAGAAAAACAATGATTGACAGGCTGTCATTTGGATTTTGACATGAAAGATTGTTCAATGGTTATATCTAGGCATTCTAGATGAATCTTTCTAAAAATTCATGACTATGTTCCCGTTGGTAACTAGTATGCTATTACAGGTTTTGGACTGATTAGGGGAAAATGACAGAGAAGTGGCCATCTTGGATTTTGACAATAAAAGTTTTGATTTTGAGACTGATCATGAGAACGAAATTGCTAACAGAAGACTATTTTGTAGCATGCTTGTTATTGCTTTTTTTGGAGACGCCGTGGATGATGTATGAAGACTCTCCTTCTCAATTACAGGTGTTCAGTTTTTAGACTGGTGGATAAAAGTAATGATAATAAACAAAACCAACTTTCTCGGTGGCAGCCTTCTTTATTGTAGACGACACTCGTTATTATAATTATATAAAGGTTATATCCGATACAATTAGTTATAATTAGCAGTTCGATGGCCGTGTTATTTCGATGTAAATCAGATGACAATAGAAAATCTAAATTGCGATTTTACAATATTAGACTGTGTTGCATAATTTCAGCTTTTTGTAAAAGAAAGTTAATTTGAAAATGTGCAAGTTCATCTTGAACATGGCTATCATTAAAACAGGATCCGTGTCAGTGACACTCAGATAATTGGAAATGTAAACTCTTTTCGGAATCTATTTCGAAAAGCAAAAAATGTTATAAGGATCCCGGATGAAAGAACTTTAGAATTAGAATAAATCACAACGTCTGCGGCGACACCACAGACCGACCATCTGGAATTCGTCATGTGCGAAACTGTGAGACGGCAATATACCTTGTACCCATTCTCATAACAGACATGAGATAATGAAACGTGACATGTATGACGTCATAATATGTCACTTTTATCAGAACTCAATTGTTATACTTGCTTAACAGTTGTCTGTCATAAAGTGCCGACAAAGTCATTCCCATGGATCAACTGTCAAAAATGTCTCCTGCAATTACCAATTTGTCGGCAAATGTATCTGACGTTTTCAAGAGAGGCATACAGCGTTGGTCATTTTTCATTCCGATAGGTCCATTGGAACTGGTCTGCGTCTGTAGTGCCTAATTAAGACAAACTGATTGACTATCTTGTGTAGACACATGTATTTCAATGACCTCCACGTCTGATCCTGTTGTTCTCACCAAAGCTGCAGGGAACAAGTAAATACAGTGTTTTCTATGCAAATTTACTCATGTGTCATCGAAATTGCGTTTTGTTTCCCTCGGTGTTGCCAGTCTCAGTCAATTTCTAGGAACATATCTTGTGATATGTAGCGTGATCTTTGGGATGGTAAAGTCCGTCAGGAGATTTATGGAGGGATTTATAGACATTCGTTCGAGGAGAACGTTATCAGGCAGAATAAAAAACATACATTACTTATCAAATATAGAATGTACTAAATATATTTTCAATAAATGAAATGTTCCTGGAATCTGCTGAAGCATAGTGAATTATAGATCTGGTCAAGTTGAGTGGGTTCTCGACACAAAAACCCAATAAAACCGTGGCACATCTTTTCAATAAGTCACTGAAAGACTCCATATTGTGTTTCCCTCGTTTGTAATCCCTTGTCTGGCCTACATCTCTGCAACAATTCGATGGGTTCCATATCCTTATCAAAGATAGCCAGTCCCTAGTACAGCCGTCTTTGTACTTTAAAGAAAACGACCTAATGACACATAGAAGTCTAGTTTATAAATAATTTAATATTCCAATCGGGGCCACCTCTTGTCTTTTATATGTGAGCAATGGATGAAATACTGTTGCACACTTTGTTAACTATGATGCCATGGTGACAAAATAAAAACCGAGGCATGGATTAAACTACGATACACACAAACGATCATTTAACCGTTAATGTTCATATTACGCAACGAAATGAGGAATACCCCCACCAATAAAAAAAACCTACACACACGTCATTTGAGATCAAATACTTACAATTAGATCTGCCAAAAGTTCACTTTATTTCATTGCTCATCCTGCAAAAACACATGATACTTCTATCTATACACAGGAATATCTACCGCATTTATATGAAAAAATAAGATGTCTAGTCCCGATCAGTTTACTTAAGCGATGCGCGCTGCAATGGCTTTACTTCTAATGTAAACAGAAATGAACAAATGAATCCATGCATAACTGATTTATCAGGATTCAATCATTTGCAGAAACTGATTAAATAGAGATATTTAATTTTCATGAATTTTAAAATCCGATACTAATTTTATAGAACGAACGCATGTAATGAGAATTTACACCACCAGCAGATCGAATAAAATGTAGCATATTCAATTGATGTTTTTTAAACCACTTATCGGCCTTCTGTACTTGTATAAGGAATTTAAATTATATTTATGTGATTGCTAGAATCAATTATTGCAAACTTGGAATTTGAAATCGATTATAAGAAAAAATTACATTTTCCTAAATGTTATATAGTTTTAATAGTACGTAAATATGATAGCCTGCGGGAGTTACTCTACCAATGGTGTAACGTGCTGCTATATTTATCAATGGTTTTGGTGGTGTGTCTGATGAACCGAAAGAACAAAAGAAATAAAGAAAAATATATCTTATTAGGAAACAAATGCCACAGCAGTAACACAAAGGATAAATCTTAATCTATGTCAAACGAGACAGACTGACTGTCTACGATGGATAACAGGAGTAATGTATTTTTCATAACATAAAAAAAAATCAATTGTTCTTCTTCAAATTGAATCAAGTATTCCATCAGTGTTACGAAGATACAGCTATGTAGAATACTGTATGTTAAAGATAAAATAAAGAAAATATTTTGGATTTTTTCTTCAGGAAAATGCTTACACTGTTTTAGAAGATCATTTGATGCGATTTCATCCGGGCACTCGGAATACAACAGTATTAGTTTCTGCACATTTTAACTTTAATACATGTGTTATGTCAATGTTGACGATGCTTTATTGATAAATGACGCCATGTTGTTATGCTTTCTAATTGTACATGACGTTTCGATAGAAATATGCAGAGTTTTTTACTGCTTGTCATTTAAGGACGTGTCAGGTTTAGATGGAGGACCAGAGAAAAACCGCCGACCTGCGGCCAGTACAAACAGTTCGTTAGAGATAGGTTAGAGGCAAACAGGTCATACGGTAATAGGCTATAGGCAAACAGGTCATACGGTAATAGGCTATAGGCGAACAGGTCGTAAGGGATAAGTTAAAGACAAACAAGTCGTAAGGGATAGGTTAAAGACAAACAGGTCGTAAGATATAGGTTAGAGGCAAACAGGTCATACGGTAATAGGCTATAGGCGAACATGTCATACGGTAATAGGCT